TACAAAGGTCTGATAACATTTGCTCTAAATTTCCTGTAAAAATATGGCCATTTACTGTCTTTAATTTTAGAAAATAAGAAATGTTTTCTCTTGTAGTTGTAGACTGAATATCAGAGATATACCACCAAAAACTGTTCAACTTTCCTAACGTCTGGTGTCAAAACGCTGGTATATAGTGTTGTCTAGGGATTTATAATAATACATTTAATCAGAATATAATCTTTACATTTGCTTCAAAGAGTAAAATACACCATACATAATATTCAATCAACTACAAACTGCTTTTCCATCTTCCAGCCTAAACCACGACGAATGAAGTTCTGCACAAGACTTTTGGCCAGCGGAGAAATTAAAATGGTCGTGCCCAACTGAGTCTGGTTCTCTCAAGGTTTTTTTTCTTCACTCCCATCAGGTGAAGTTTTTTTTCCCTCTCCGCTGTCGCCACTGCCTCGCATGGTTCAGGATTGGTAGAGCTACGCATCGATGAATTGGCTCTTCAGTGTTTGAACTCTCAGTAATGATTAAATCACACTGAACTGAGCTAAACTGAACTGATCTGAACTGAACTTAAACACTAAAACCTGAACCACACTGTTCCAGTTACTGAACCACACTGTTCCAGTTACTATGACCATTTATGTGAAGCTGCTTTGACACAATCTACATTGTAAAAGCGCTATACAAATAAAGCTGAATTGAATTGAATTGAATTTTCATAACTCGGATGGCTTTTAATTTTTTTCCATTTCATGTTTTGTTAAATTATGTTTTAAATGTCAATTGCTCACACAGTGACAATTGCTCACACAATTTTCACACTGTGATTTTAGAAAATAAAAATAAAAACCAGATTCATTCCAGAACATTTCTCTTAAGAAAATCTACAAGAAATTTGCCAAAAATTTCATTGCTTAGTTTGAACAGACTGATCATACGATCCAGTGGATTCATCAGAATCAAATGTATCTTGAAGATGAGAGTGTACAATATTAAATGTAAGTGCACATATAGTCAATTATATAAGGAATCAAAAGCAGCTATAGCACTATATTAACATCAACGCACAAGGGAGATGATTTCACACCACCCACCTTCAGCAACCCACCACAGTCCAGAGCTGGCAGTTTATTTCATCCTGTCCTTACATTAACATCTGTCCAAACACCACAAAAGAAGATGAAACTTCAGCCATACTTCAAGCTTGAGTAATCTAAACCAATGTATTCAGGTAGTAAATATATATGGGCAAGAAAGTGTTGTCAGTCTTGACCTTACAACAATAATCTGATATACGCAAATTTAGCAAAATAAATAAACCTCTAAAGCACCATTTATGATAAATGTATTTAATTAATGACCTCAAAATCCCCATAAAGACCTAACATGGCTGTTCAGTAACATTAGAAAGCAAACTACATAATAATCAAATACTTAATAGCGTGTGATAAATTAAACTGCATGGCTCAGTTGAGTAGGAAGTGGGAATGATTTTCTCCAGAGTAATATAATCCTGAACAACCCTTGAATCTTTCCACGGTTATAGTTTAATTAAAAACAAAGAACAGGAGCCGTAAAGTAATTCAAGGTTTTGATTGTTATTATGAAAGAAAACTCTGTGCCATAGTAAGAAGATCAAACCTTATGAAATAACACCTTTTGTAATGAAAAGATCATGACTTAAACATCCAGATCATCTCAAGAACATATTTTGAGTCTGATTTTTATATTTACCTAAGATTTTATGTCATAAAGACTTGATTATTAAATCTAGGAACAAAACCCTTTAAGTTTGAATAACTGTGTATAGGGTCACCTTTAGTTAAAATCCATATTTCAGGCAAACCTCCAGCTGAGCGTTGAAAATTCCACTAACGTGTACAGATACATTAGATGTCGTTGCCAATACTGCTTCTAAAATTGTATTGATGAGGATGTGCCATGCAGCGGTGCTCTGTTGAAATGTAGATTACATAAGCATGACGAGATTAAAGGCCTTTGGCACTGCAGCACATCAATATGTGAAATAAGCTAATGTTTTTTTTTCCCATTTAGAGTACATTTTAGTCATTTTCTTCAAAATAATACCATAGATCATACACAGTTGACTGATAAGTCGTGGCCTCAGTGGACAAAAAAATACTCACCCCAGTCAATGAACATTGCAAAAAAAGTATACACATGCATAGGCTATGTATATAGGCTGTGTGTATGTATATATGCATATGTATCTATGTATTTATATATATATATATATATATATATATATATATATATATATATATATATATATATATATATATACAGACACACAAACATACAACACATAAATATATTCACGCCATAAATACAGTATCATTTCAATTCAGTATACATTCCTGTGCCCACAATAAAGGACACTATGGCGTTAATGAACGTGAGTAACTGCTTTACATTCTGTCCTCATAAGACCGGTGATAAAACGATTAGCGCGGCCAATTTTCAACAGTACGTTTTGTGCTATTTACGTGCAACTTACCCCATGTTGCTGTTGTTTTTCCCTCCTGAGACGAGATAGGATTTGTTGATCAGCGAGTTTGTTCTTCCAGCTGAATGAAGCGGCTCTGGATGCGGTCGGTCACATTATGAGCAGCGGCATTCTGCGTCTCTCGTTACGCGCTCTGTATGTAGGCTGTCAGATTCACTGAATGGATCCCACGGCGAATTGCCCACTAATACTGCCCAATTTCAGCTGCTTTGGCACACGACGGGCTCACCTCGCATCTCTGCGGTGTGAATATTGTATTCGTTGAAGAGCGTGAGGTAACGGTGGCGCAGGGGTGAATAACGAGCCGCTGCCTCTCTCTCGGTGGGCGTGTGGCTCTAAAGATGAATCTACTGTCAGTCGATGGTCAAAACACATACCACACAATATCCTACAACAACGCCCCCTGGCACGCTCTTCCCCCATTAAATTACACTTGCCGATTTTTCATTGTAAGTTATCGTAATAATTCACATTCATAATTAGCTATTATCACCATAAATTTGATGAAATGTAAATTTAAATCGTAATTAGCCTAAATATATTAAATATTATTTTAATTCAATCTCCAGTTGCGCAGTTAAGCTATCAAAACACCTTATAAGAATAATTAATTTTTAATTCTAGACCAAATGTTTTTTTTTTTTTAGCCCACTCTAAGTTAGAAAAACAGTTTACACTATTATAGTTTTGATTCACAGTTTTTGTACTTTCTTATCCTCACGTTGTCCTTTTAAGAGCAAAGGAGCTATTTCAAGTGTACAAAATATAAATAAATAAAAAAATTCACAATCAATAATAATTATTCTCTTTATAGTATACCTTAAAAAGTAGCCTATTAGTTTGCATTACTACCAAATTGCTACTGCCACACAATTAGTATCAGATAATATTATTTGCTGCTTCACTGCCATTCACAAATCATCTACTATGGCCTCAAAGAATCCTAAAATGCCCAATCATATGTGCACTTCAGAAGCCTGCTGAAATTTCTAGTCTGGTTCTATTCATTTATTCATTTTCATTTCGGCTTAGTCTCTTCATTAAGCTGGGGTCGCCACAGCGGAATGAACCGCCAACTTATCCAGCATCATATGTTTTACGTAGCGGATGCCTTTTCTGCAACCCATCACTGGGAAACACTCATACTCTCGTTCACACACTACGGACAATTTAGCTTACCCAATTCACCTGTACCGCATATCTTTGGACTTGTAGGGAAAACTAGAGCACCCAGAGGAACAGTCTGGTTCCTATTTGGATAAAACAATTTTTATGGAGCCAAGTAAAACATTATAAAAACTTTTTCTGTTGATTCATTTTTCTTATATATATATATATATATATATATATATATATATATATATATATATATATATATATATATATATATATATATATAGCCAAAATAGATATTCCCTGGAAAGCTTGTTTTTGGTTGGTCGATTTATTTTTTTAATTATTCATTTATTTTTGTAACAATTTAAAGAAAACCTAAAAGCAACATTGTCATAGCCTAGAGGGGATGTTTTATTTAAACAAATAAAACTTTCCTGGCTACTCAACTGAGAAACAGACAAGTTGTGTAGGCATACGCTTTGGGATGTTCAGATACAACAGCTAAGTATTTAATTTTTCAACGCTGTTTTGTTGTACTTTTCTTTTTAGCCAATGAAAATTGGTACAAAAGAAAAAAATATGGGTGACGCAGTGGGGCAGTAGGCAGTGCTGTCGCCTCACAGCAAGAAGGAAGGAAGGAAGGAAGGAAGGAAGGAAGGAAGGAAGGAAGGAAGGAAGGAAAGAAGGAAAAAAAATTATCAAAATGCAGATCAGAGAGATGTCCGTCACTGCCAGTCGGCTGCTGTTTGTTTTAAACTTAAAATGATAAATGATTATTTGCTGTAATCTGATGACTGTCCCCTGAAAGCACGTGTACATCATCTGTCAGTGTCTGTTCAATGTGAACTGGTCTTTTGTGGCAAAGCAAAAAGGATTTACCATCCACACTCAAAGCATTATATACGATTCAATAGCTTTGCATTCCTATGTTATAACTTTCAGGAAACACACTTGGTCTCTGTAATCCACTTCACATCCACTCCACTGGCCATAGCCTGAAACCCACTGAGCACAGAACAAATGTAAAAACAGAACACTGTAAAGAGAAAAGAAAAACATTAAATATATATATAATACACTTGACATATTACATTCCATGTTTGGGGAACTTTGATTCAAAAGCAACTGAAACTAAATATTAAAATAAGGTTTTGGTTAAAATAATCATACTGTAGATACTGAAAACTTAGAAGTACATTTGACTTTGTGCCTATTATGTTTATTCATTCATTTATAAATCTAGTCAATCATGAAAATGATGTAGTTATTATAAAACAACTTTAAACAACATTAAGGATAAAGCATGGAAAATGACCGCATACAATCTATAAGTAAACGGTCCATAAGCGAAAACAATTCCATTGTCACTAAGGACAACTGCCTCTCCGTTCGGATACACGTTAACTTTACGACAGGTCAGCTATTCTGTTAAATTAATGACATTTTAGTTTGGAGTTAAAGACCCGTCTTTTCACGTGTTGTCAACAGACTGTGTTGTCACGCGGGACCTTTATTTTGAACACCCAGACGACCGTCCGTCCGCAATAACCCGGAAGCAAAGGAAAAAGTGTTTTGGATATTTTATACAAGCCTGCTCTCGTTCTCGCTTACCAAATCAGCCTTTCCTACCGGTGAGTTCTTTTTATTTTTGTGATTAATGTTAACTTACACAGGAGCATGTGATGCAGTTATTACAAACATGTTATATTTGACGTTAACGTTACACCGTTTAAACATTCTCCTGTAAGCAGATTAAGATTTAGCCCTCATCGGCTAACGTCAACCACACGAATGTTTTGTTTTAACATTTAGTTTATTAATTCAGACATTAAGTTCAGTAATTGTTTAAGAGCAGCATAAATACATCAGAATCTCCTTACATAAACATTCTGCATACTTGGACAAAAAGCAATGTGTTTTAACTTACTCGAATGGTTGTCGAGGAGTTTGTTTTCAACACTGAATGTTTGTTGTTTGACCTTAACCCTTTTGATGCACTACATAGGTCTAAAGTGCCCCGTCCTTTAAGTGTATTTTTTCTGTCTAATTTATAGCCTGTACAGCAAAGGGTTAAATCCAAGCTAAAATTTGATAGATAAAAATATTAAAATGCAATATGTTTATAGGCTGTTGTCAATACGCATGTTTATATGCCAACTAATTACTTATGGTGTTTGTGAAACTGCAGGCAATTGATGTTTGGTCTGGCCGGAAAGAATGTTGCCGAGACCATACATCTTCTCCCATAATGATGGGCCATCTAGTCATTTATTCCAGCACGTTCTACCTCACAATGTGTCCCAGCAACAAAGAATTGAAGCCCATCTGAATTCAACCAAGTGAGTATATATTTAAAAGACGATGTGCTTAAATTCTTTGTATTCAGTTGAATAATTCAGTGTCTCTTTCAGCAATTTTATTGGTCCACCAATGAATGCTCCCCGCTTCATTCCCACTTACCAGTGGACACCAGTGGAGCTGTCTGATGTTGCTTGCAGTCCAAATGGACCAATGGGAAACAATAGAAAGTGAGTAACATAGGCATGGGCCGGTATAAGTATTGTGATTTCTGCTCTAAAATATATTATTTTTAAATGTCTGGTTAAAAAAAAACTTTTCCCTTTTTTGAACAAAATATTTTTATATTTAACATTTAAAATGTTTTAAAGCAGTAAACATGTCAGGCTGAATAGTTCAAATAAATCGTTGACTTCTGCTGTCTTCATTAGTTTCAAAAACACAGATTTCTTTACAATTTTAAAGGGCATCTTTGGATATCTTTTCTGTTGGCGATACTGTTGTCTTAAAAACAAAAAAAAAATCTTACATATATTAGCCCCTTTCACACAGTGATACCGGTAAATATCCGGAAAATTTCCGGAACGACTTTACCGGTATATTCAAAAAAGCGCTGTTCACACAGGCACGGACGTTACGGAAATTTTCCGGAAAAGAGCATTCACACATCTATTCCAAAATACCGGTAAATTCTGACATCATTAACCAGAAATGAGCTTTAAACGGCTGCGCTTGTATTTGTAAACATTTGACTAAGTTACAAACTCTGTGGATAATCAGTATTGTGAACAACTTTCGCAGGATCACTTTCGCATGTCGAGATGTTCATAATATGTGCGTGTGCAGGCGCTCACAGGCTGTTTCGCAGGCTCACGCAAAGCTTGAAGGTAAACAAACAACGGCTTATCATAAGCATCTCATCGATGATTATTTATACAGTTGGCATTAAGAAGAACATATAAACGTGATCTGACTAACTTCTAGCAGCTAAATGTGTCTGGAAAAATATTCAAAGGCTTTTATTCTCATAAACCGCGCGGACGTAAATGCATCTGACAGTTGTGATTGGCTAAAGCAGACGTCTCACGTCAGCACGTTCTAGACGTGCACGCGCTTATTCCGTCAATCTTCCTTCTGCGTTCACACAGCGCAGCATTCCGGCAAATTGCCGGTAATGTTACAACTTCTCTTTCCGGAAAATAGCCAGAACGAATTTACCGGTATTTTCAAAAAGGACCTGTTCACACATACAACCTTTCCGGAAAATTACCGGTAATTTTCCGGTAAGGTCTGTATGTGTGAAAGGGGCTATTGTAGGACTAAAATTTTGGTGGTTTTAAAACCTTGACTGTTTTTTCTAGAACAGCACTTATCACAAACCACTGCAATTCTTGTTTGCAATCTATTCAATCAACAGAATGGATGCTGAATGTTTTCTAATTCAAGCAACTTGTCTGTTTTTATGCTAGGAGAAGGATACAAGATAACAGTGATATTAACCTAAAGAGGCAGCGCTTCAGTTGTCCAAGTCCTCACAACCAGTCTGCTAGAAATTCCAACTTTACCTCACAGCCAGTGACAAGACCAGTGACGGGCAGAGAGGTTACATGCCCTACATGCTCATCTGCCACTTTTATACCAGGAGGCTGTGTGCCATCTTTGGGAGAGACATGCCATCAGAATGCTTTTTCACCATCATCAGTCAAAGATAAGGTGAACACAGATAAAAGCCATGAACTTTGACCTAGTCGTTGGACTTCTATTTGATGTAAAAAAAAATAAATAAAAATTGAATGGCAAAGTATGATGAAACATATCTATATATGTATTATTCTTTCTCCAACAGCTGAGTCAGCAGATTCTCAACTTGTTTTTTGCTTGTGAGCAGCAGTCTGATGATCTGGAGAAGAAGGAGAGCTGCCGTGCAGCACTGCAGACTGACATACAGAAAATTTTCCCATGTACATCATTAACATGAATTATAAATTGTATTTTTTTCTATTTCAGTCTTTGTGAAATCTGATCTTAATCTTAGAAGTTTCTTTTCTTTTTTGGGGGTCAAGGTGCAAAAGTCTTCTTGGGCGGCTCATCTTTGAATGGCTTTGGTAGTCGCAGCAGTGATGCTGATCTTTGTCTTGTCATTGAAGAGGGACCTGTAAGTGTATTTCTGAACAAATGCCTTGTGATTTTGTTTATTCTTTTCTGTCGTGTTTTTAAAACTCTCTACATTCTTTTATTCAGGTAAACCACAGGAAAGATGCTGTGTATGTTCTTAGTCTTGTGCGAAAATTGCTTTACAAACTGTGTAAGTGTTCATCCATACCTACATCTACATTCATTTAACTTTGTACTTTTTATTCACTAATTGCTTTGCTGCTGTTTAAAGCTTACATTGAGAAGCCGCAGCTCATCAGAGCCAAAGTGCCCATTGTGAAATTCAGGGACAGAATCAGGTGCGTCTTTTGAATTATATTTGGTGTTAAAAAATGAAGAATCTATTTGAAAAGAAATTAATAATTTAACTTGGCGGGCAATGAGGACAATGAAAGCACTTGTGAATTAATTCTGTTTTGAAGCTAGTGTTGATCTACAGAAGGGGGGCTTATTTGGTTATTTCCAAAATCAATTTCTTTTTATTAAACCTTATATTAATTCTCTCTCTCTCTCTCTCTCTCTCTCTCTCTCTCTCTCTCTCTCTATACATATATATATATATATATATATATATATATATATATATATATATATATATATATTAATGAATTTAAATATATATTTAAAATAATATATATTATTATTTTATCCATAACCTACTGAAAAGACAAAACAGTCGTTTATAGTTACTAATATAGACACTATTGTAGCTAATAGTTACTAGTTCTATTGGATTGCGACCACTGGGGTAATTACATTTTATTAAAGATACAGCAATAGCTTCAGATGAGCAGATTGATTTTATAATACCAGATTAACTTTCTGGCACATTTACAGCACTGACATGCATTAACATTTTTTTTACAAATCAACAAAGAATAAACTTTGGTCTATTGGTGTGTGTGTGTGTGTGTGTGTGTGTGTGTGTGCGCGTGTGTGCGTGTGTGTGCGCGCGCCATTGCATGCAAGGTTTCTGTATTTAAAACCACCTCAGAGGATATTGGGGGTCGCGAGTCACTGGCATTGTTATTTTAGGGGTTGTGGATTGGTGTAGCGGCAGCAATAATGCGGTCATTGAAGCGGTCCGTTGTGGTAAAGAAAGAGCTGAGCCAAAAGACAAAGCTCTCGATTTAACGGAAAATCTACGTTCCTGTTCTAACCTATGGTCATGAAATTTGTGTCTTGACCGAAAGCACAAGATTTCGGATCTTGGAAGATCTCGCGGCCAAAATGAGTTTCCTTCGCAGGGTGGCAGGATGCACCCTTATAAATATAGACTTTGGGCTGGCCTGGGAATGCCTCGGGAACCCCCTGGAGGAGCTGGAGGTAGTGTCTGGGGAGAGGGAAGTCTGGAGTTTTCTCCTAAGAATGCTTCCCCCAGGACCCGGCCCCGGATAAGCAGATGAAAATGATATGACGGTGCTTGGACATATTTTGTGACCTGTTAAGTTTCCCCAATTTTTTAAAAAAAAGGCTATTATTGTGTTTTATTTTGTGTTTGGCAATCACTTGTCTGAATGTAGTTTGGCTTTTGTTTTAACTTTTAGGGCCTTTAGCTGTTATTAAGGCAGAATATCAAGCTAAAAAAAAGGTAGTGTTTTTTTTGCAGCATAAAAAATACTATTTAAATACTTTTTCAGCTTATTCAGGACAACTTGCTTTTTGTATAATGTTATTTATTATATGTATATTTATATGTCTTAACAAAAACAAACTTAGAATTGTCCACCTGTCAGGTTTTGGACCATATGGGGATGTGTGTTTGGATATAACAGTTGTTTGAGTCCACTTGGTTATTGCTGTTCATTTATTAGTTTGCTGAAAATTAGAACTGAATTTAGAAATAGTTTCAAAACAAATCTTTGCACTTAACCAACAAAATTAATTAGGTAGGCTAATGGATATCTTTGGCGGAGTGCGTACAACACCGTTTCCTTATTCAAGAAACATCGAAAGTTAAAGTATCCTCTCACTGCAAATGCTGTTTAACTTTTCCCATTAGTGAAGCGTTTAGTTTTTCCACTTACAAAGTCCGCCATGTAAATGGCAAATGTGCCATGGTGCGACGCAACTCTTCAAGAGAATGAGAGATGAGACTCTGATTGGTTTAATGCACGTTATGCTCAAATCACACCCATAACTCATTAAGAGAATCAACAAAACCCTGTTAGACCATGCGCCGGGGCGCAGAGCGGATTTTTCCTTCCTTAAAATAGCAAAAGTAGATTCAGACACGCCCTTTATGCTTTTACGCCTAGATTGTTAAAATAGAGGCCATTATGTAAACATTTTTTTAACATTTTTTCATCATACAGTGTTACTTGTGTCAGAAGTTTGGGTGTTTGACAATTACTTTAAATTTGATAAACAGGTAAATACTGTGGTTAAGTCCTGTTTTATCATATTCGTCTTCTTTCAAAAGTGAAGCCGTTTCTATTCCTGAAGAGGCTTGAAATAGCTGTGCATGCATCTGGACTAGACTACTGCAATTCCTTGTTTGTAAATGTTCCTCAGTCCAGTGTGTCTCAGTTGCAGTTAGTTTGGAATATGGCAGCTCTGCATTTTACTGGAAAACACAAGTATGAGTCTGTTACACCATTTTTGCTATCTCACTCCACTGGCTATCAATTAAGTATAGAATCGACTTCAAAATTGTAATGCTTGTTTTTAAATTCCTTCACAATCAGGCCCCACAGTAATTAGCTGACGTTTTACAGCCCTACACCACAACCAAACCACCTAGATCTTGCCTTTTTGGCAGCAGACCCAAAACTGTGGAATAGTCTCCAGTTTTATATTATAAAACTGCCCCAACCTTGCCAGTTTTTACGTCCTTTACTAAAACTTGTTTGTTTTTTTTAAATGCATTTAAAATTCCTATTATTCTGTCACTGTGCTATATGATTGTTTTATAAACTCCATGTTTACAGCTTGTTTTATTGTTTTCATGTTTGTTTTTCTTGTTTTTTATTACATTAAGCAAATTGCTTGGCTTTGGTTTTGCATATGGGGTGACACAGTGGTGCAGTAGGTAGTGCTGTTGCCTCACAGCAAGAAGGTCACTGGTTCGAGCGTCGGCTGGGTCAGTTGGCGTTTCTGTGTGGAGTTTGCATGTTCACCCTGTATTTGTGTGGGTTTCCTCTGGGTGCTCCGGTTTCCCCCACAGTCCAAAGACATGTGGTACAGATGAATTGGGTAGGCTAAATTGTCCATAGTGTATGTGTGTGAATGAACTGTATCGATGTTTCCCCGAGATGGGTTGCGGCTGGAAGGGCATCCGCTGTGTAAAACTGTGCTGAATAAGTTCTTGTTCATTCCGGCCTGGTTCATTCCGCTGTGGCTACTCTGGACTAATAAAGGGACTAAGCGGAAAAGAAAATGAATGAATAAATGGTTTCACATATATTATGCAAAAAAAACTTTTAAGCAAAGTTTTGTGACAACAGTGTGTGATTATAGCCAGCCATTAGTGGTAAAAACTTGTTAAAATCTTATTTATATAATCACACTTTATAAAACAGTCAGTAGAAAAACTTTGATTGACATTCTCCATGTGTTCATGTCATCAGAGGGGGGGAGTCCCAGTCGTTAGTGGCAATCTTTCCCTCTTTAGCATAAATAGCCCTGAGTGAGAATCAAACATAAAAGGGGCAGTTTCAAACACACTACTTATTTTACATGTTGAAAAAAGGGGCATGAAAGGTCTCCTTTAAATTGTGCTATATACATAACATTCTATTTTACTTGTATAATTGTATTGTTATAAATGTTTTCTGTGTATAAAAGCATGATTTTACAATGGTTTTTAAATTGTAAGTTGTTTTGAATATTGTTAAAAATTTTGCTTTGCCCTCGCAGCAATCAACTACACTCAAATTGCATTAAAAGAGAAGGCAGTTCTTTAGAACTGTAATAATATTTAACTATATTTTTAGCTTTTATTTTTGTTCAAATGGTGATCCCAACATTTTTACATCTTGTGACTAAAACCTGCAGTGTAAAAAACAAGTCTAAAAGTAGAAGGCAAACAAGTTTAATTGCTTATTGTGTCGACTGCAACAAAATAACTTTACAGAAGCTAACCTCAATTTTTAAATTTTTATTTTTTTTTTTGCATACCAGTGGAGTGGAGTTTGATTTGAACTTTAACAACACTGTTGGGATCAGAAACACCTTCTTACTGCGGACCTACGCCTTTGGTAATATAAGAAAAGTTCATAGTTATGTATCTAGTAATGTCTTTTGCAAAATTAAATGTATAATTTTTTTTTTTATATACTTATCTTTCAGTTGAAAAACGTGTTCGTCCATTAGTCCTTGTAATAAAGAAATGGGCAAATCACCACTGCATCAATGATGCCAGCCGAGGAACGCTTAGCAGCTATACACTGGTTCTTATGGTCCTACATTACCTTCAGAGTAAGTCCTTTTTCTAAAATGTTGGGTTAAGATCTAATGTACAAAAAAAATTATTAATATATGTTTGTTTCAACATCAGCTCTTCCTGAACCAGTCATCCCATGCCTTCAAAGAGATTACCCTGTAAGCAGATTTTCAAATATACTAATGAATTGCACGTAAAAGGTTTTTTACATATTTAATTATTGCTGAAACTACCTCCTGCAGACTTGCTTTGACCCTAAGATGGACATTCATCTTGTGCCAAGCGGACCAAGCGATATACCTGCTTTTGTATCTAGAAATCAGTCGTCACTGGGAGACTTGTTCCTAGGTTTCCTGAGATACTACGCCACTGTTTTCAAGTAAGTCTCATTATTGATATTGTTGCACACATTATTGGCATTGATTAAACCTATATTTAAAGCAAAGCGAGAAAACATTTTACAAATAATTGAGCCAAGTAAATTAATAAATGCATGTTATAACTACACTACCTGACAGAAGTATTGTTGTTGATCCCAATTGTGAGAGCAACAAATAATAACTTCGCTTCTAGTTGGTCATTTGGAAAAGTGGCAGAAGGTGGACAAATACTGCAGAAGACCTATTGGAACCCCCATGGACCCAAGATTCTCACACAAATCACACAAGTTTGGTAAAGGAAAAATTATGGTTTGGGGTTACGTTCAGTATGGGGGCATGCGAGATCTGCAGAGTGGATGACAACAGCAACAGCCTGAGGTATCAAGACATTTGTGCTGCCCATTACATTTACAAACCACAGGAGAGGGCAAATTCTTCGACAGGATAGCTCTCCTTCTCATACTTCAGCCTCCATCAAAGTTTCAGAAAGCAAAGAAGGTCAAGGTGCTCCAGGATTGCCAGCTCAGTCACCAGACATGAAAAGTTTATTGAGTATGTCTGGGGTAAGAAGAAGGAGAAAGATGAATCCAAAGAATTTTAATGAACTCTGGGATTCCTGTAAGAAAGCTTTCTTTGCCACTTTATTAATACATTATTTGAGTTATTGCAGAGATGTATGGATGCAGTCCTCCAAGCTCATGGGAGTCATACAAAATATTAATTCTTTTTCCACTGCACCATGACTTTATATTCTATACTGGACATTATTTCTGTCATTATAACTGACCAGACTTTTGTCTAAGCAAAGTCAGATCTTACTGTCCTAATTAAATAATTAGAAATCAAGTCATGATCATATTTTATTTTGGTAAAATAAGCATAATCTAGAAGACTTTCATATAAGCCACTTCTAATACCAAATGATCAACTCGAACTCAAGTTATTATTTGTTGTTCCTAAAACTTAATTTCAGGTCACTCTGTTTTGATGGGTTCTAAACTTCAACACTCTGTTCATTCTCTCAATATGGAAATAGATTTTTATTAATACTCTCAAGAAATAACTTTTGTTGCTTGTTTCAACTCATTTTAAATAAGCAGTTTGAACAACACAATTTTTACAATTTTAGGGGGACAAATTCATTTTTTATGTCCGTTCCGTTTTGATCCTTGAGTTTGTTAATCATTTGTATATTCTTTTGTTGAAAGTAACTTATTTTAAAAACAGCCATGTTTAATAGCAGAATAATAATGTGCAGGAACAACTACATCACCCATGATGCCATGCAGAATATTTCACCAATCAGAGTTGCAGGCAGCAAAGTGCACCTTTAGCTCCACCCACTGCCATGAACCGAAGCGAATGTCATAATGGAGTAGGGCATTCTACACTCACTAAATACTTGCATGTAAATGCATATTTTGCAGTAAAGGTGAAAGATGTTTCTATAGAATAAACCAAACACTTTAAATTAATAGTTCTGTATTTCTCCTCCTGATTCATGGTATGCTAGTTCTTTCCATCATTAAAGACACAGACCTTGTAGCAGGCTGGTTTGGTTCATGGTTTTTGTTTTTAATCCCCTAAGGGTAAAATTCATCCTGACCCAAAAAGGGGGCAAGCACTAATGCACTCTGTTGTATTATTGCACTACACATTTAATCAAATCTGTCCAGTTTTTTTTTTTCCCTGCTCACACGGCAGGTTAGAATCTCCTGTGATAAGATAGAGGCCAGTGTTGTTAACAAAAACTAACCTGACTGTAAACCACCTGCAAGGCTCCTGTTTCATGTCAAACTGCCAGATTGACAGGAGCAGGTGAAGCTCTGGCTCTGTGTGTGTGTGTGTGTGTGTCAGGCTCTGGTCCAGATGGCCTGCTCTAATGCTCACAACACTGGATATGTGCATATGCTTCTTTGAATAAACAAGTCTGAATGAATGCATTTACAAGCACATCTTTACAGTTCAATGTTTTTGTTGTTATAGATGGGACAAGCAAGTGATCTCTGTGCGGATGGCAAGAACCCTGCCCAAAAGCAATTGCAAAGAATGGAAAGACAAGTTCATCTGTGTAGAAGGTAAACAGGCACTGTTTGTTTATACATTGTGCATGAATAAAGGGCCTTTCTCACTAAGAATGATAAGTTTTAGATGATAATAACTCTTTTAAATACCAGTGAACAGTAGCTACTTTTCCATCCACCTATTAGGGGTGGGCGGTACACCGGTGTCATAGTCATTACCGGTGTGACATTGATTCATGGATTTTCTAATACCGTCAATACCATAATAAATCAATTATATGCACCCGAAATTTAAGCTATGCGACCCCATAACATATTTGGGAGCATGTGTGCGACTGCATATAATGGTTGTAGCACGACCTGTTTTGATTTTGTTTAAAAACGTAATAAATGAATCGCTCTTCCCTGCCACTATATTGGTTCATATTAGCTGTCGATCACTGAAGGCTTTCTGCTGTCAGATGACAGGGAGCTTTTGTGACCGCCGGGAAGGCAAGCGGTTAAAGAGTGAAAAGTACACAGGTTTGCAAACCCCACCTAGTTATAATAATAATAATAATAATAATAATAATAATAAAGGCGCAGATGAGAGCGATCATGACATGTTGTGAATATTGATCCGCCAGCTGAGACCAATCGAGTCTCTGAGAACTCGAGTTTTCGGAGAAAGGGCCCGAATCTCAATGGGTTGCATTCACTGCATGCTCAGCGCAAATGTTCGCTAAATGTAAAACCTAATACTGTACACATCATCGCTAAAGAAGCTCGCATTTACTAAGTTTACACTGTAACTGCGGCTAATTCCAAAAAGCGGTATTGCGCCGGTGGTCATCGCGAGAATCCTGCTCTGCCTGCACATATATTGGGTCGGCTGACTCGCCTGCTTTCCACAAACACAGAAAAATGAACATCAGCTCATAACGAGACTGAGCATTTAAAATGAAAACAAAACCTTTAAAGAGTGGCAGAAGAATTTCCTACTTTCTTTATCTTTCTTGAGATGTATATTATTCTGCCATTTAGTTACTGATGACTGTTTTGCAGCTTTCAGCATTGAATTGAATGATTTATTATAGTCTTTCATTTGTTTTGTCGCAGAAATATTATTTATTAAATTGACATACATATAAAAACAATAGTCTAAAATTAATATTTCTTACTCCAATGCTTCATTTTTGTTTGATGCAAACCAAAAATTTATTTTTTATAAAGTAAAAGACTTTTTATAGCACATAACTCACATTCAAGCACATTCTATAGGCAGCATTATAATGAGAAATGTAATTCATTGTTACTATTATTGTCATTTTCATCATCATTAATATACTATAATTGTTATTTTGGAATAATTGCACACAAATATCAATGTCATCTCAGCATTAGTTAAATAGTTGTTTCTGGTTTTTGTTAGTCCTAATTGATGTTGTTTTAAAATACAATAAATTCATTAAAATACAATTTACAGTGGTGCTCATTCATTTTTGGTGGGTGCTACCAAATTTTTTTCTGGTGCTCTTAAATTCTTTTTGGTGTTCTTTAGGTTTTTGCAAAATAAATATGTTGAGAATGTACAATACTCTCCCCTGTCACTTTTTGATGAAGATACCCACCATTTACTTATTATATTATAAAAATATTAACTTTATTCACATACTAAAGGGACAGGACAGTCTACTCCTCCCAAAATGTACCAAAAAAAAAGCTTATTATAATACGTGATATTATACCGTCACCGTTCAAAAGATGAAAAATACCCTGATATTAATTTCAGGTCATATCGCCCATACCACCTATTTTATGTGCATTTTGAATATGTGCATTAAAAATGGTTGATGGAAACGCCATGATGTGCATACATTTTTTAATGTGCATTAAAAAAACATGCACAAAACTAAGTAGTATAAACTTTATTCGTTAAGAAAAGATGCGCATGAACTACGATGGAAACACTTTTACCAAACAAATTGCAGTATGTGTATTAAGAAAAGGTCATGTGATTTTGTTATAAGAGATCATGTGATGATAAAAATAATGGACAAACCAGCAGGCTGAGCACATTGTAAAACATCGGAAATGTTTTGGTTATTCTAAAATGCCTTAACCGTTTCAGTATTAGTGTTATTATATAATTAATGACTTCCAGAATTGTTCAGAGTGTCTGTGCTCTGTCTCACGCCTTTAAACGCCACCACATGTTCATAGTCTTCTGAGGCACAAGTCATTTATTAAATAAAGAAAAGATTGACGCAGCTTCTCCCACCGCATTAGATTCTGTTTTTACTTTTGATGTTTGGTGCCAGTTAATCAAGAAGTGACGATTTTGTTTTCTTTGGCTCGTTGGATAGAAATGCTGCTTTATCCGCATGTCTTTGATGCAATATTCCATTTTTGTGCATAAAGTTAGTTCACAATTTTGGATGGAAACGTAGCTAGTAACATATATATTTTTTTTTTGTACATTGCTCTGCCACTTAGGATATTTACATTCTTTAAAGTTGTGCCATTAAATGAACATATGGATAGCTGAATTATAAGAGTTTAGTATATGACTTCCCAAGTCTCAGACAACATTTAATTGGCCATAATGTTTCCTAGTGAGATTACAAAAAAAATTCTAGGGCTTTCAATGTTTTGGGGTGAATATTAAAATACATAAAAAATATTTTGATTTCACAGATTATTTAGGCAATATTCTGTTTTCTTGATCTTCTGTCTGCTATAATATTAAAAATGTTTTGTCTATTTAATTTGTAAACATTTTTAATTTGTACTTTTTATAATTTTTTTACACCTTGACAATTGTAAATATATATTTTAACCTTAATTCAGCCATGATGAAACATTAGCTAAATATATGTGGGGGTGAGAAAAACAAACAAACAAACAAACAGCACAAATGTGTTGTGTATTTGCTCTACAGCCAAGTGCTTCATTCTGCTTCGGACAAGAATATAAATTTCAGTGCATCTTGTGTGCACTTAAGTCTCTGATGTTGAGACTTATGTTGTCAAAATGCAACTTAATATTAATTTAAGGTGCAATTAAAACAGATTGAATGGGTGGTTAATTTGTGATTAATTGTGAGTTAACTCATGGTTAACATGCATTTAAATGCATTTTTTTTTACATTATCAATTCACAGCTCTACATTTTCCTTATTTTTACATTTTATTTATTTATAACTTCTTAATTATTTTAATAAAAAAAAGTGTATCCACCTGCTTGAAAATGAGAATTTGTCTTTTGTTTTAGAACCATTTAATCGTACCAACACAGCCAGAGCCGTCCATGAGAGAATGAAGTTTGAAGCCATTAAAGCTGCATTCATTGAGGTAAGTCCAAGACTTCCTTGGATCATTATTTAAATAAATCTATATTTGTTTAATTTATATAAACATGTATATTTAAAGAAGTTTTATGTTCTTTTTTGACAATTTAATTAAAATGAGCATCTTACTGCAATGATGTACCATGTAATGTCATTTTATAAAAATTTCCATCAGTGAAACCAGTAATAAGCTGGTATGTACATTTGAAGTCAGAATTCTTAGCCCACATGTGTATATTTTTTTTTCTTTTTTAAATATTACCCAAATTATGTTTTTATAGAGCAAGGACATTTTCACAGTATGTCTGATAATATTTTTTCTTCTGGAGAAAGTCTTACTTGTTTTATTTTGGCTAGAATAAAAGCAGTTTTCAATTTTTTTTAAATCCATTTTATGGTCAAAATTGTTAGCCCCTTTAAGCTATATTTATTTCTTCGATAGTCTATAGAACAAACCATCGTTATACAATAACTTCCCTAATTACCCTAACCTGCCTAGTTAACCTAATTAACCTAGTTAAGCATTTAAATGTCACTTTAAGTTGTATAGAAGTGTCTTGAAAAAAATATCTAGTCGTCAAATATTAATTACTGTCATCATAGCAAAGATTAACTAAATCAGTTATTAGAAAAGAGTTATTAAAATTATTGTTTAGAAATGTGTAGAAAAAAAAATCTCCTCTTTGTTAAACAGAATTTGGGGAAAGAAATAAACCAGGGCAAATAATTAAGGGGGCTAATAATTCTGTCTTCGACTCTATATGGGTCATATGATAAAAACATTATTCCACTACATTAAAAAAGCATTCTCATACAGAGTTAATTCTTTCAAGGAGGAATAAGCAAAGTGGAAACTTTCCACAGAACAACTGGATTGTAAAGTATTCCTCCAATCTCAAATGTGACCATGTATTGTTTATTTACAGTCCTACCGGCTTCTGCAGCTCAGAAAAGATCTCAACTTCATCCTGCCCAAGAGCAAACAGATGGCAAGACCTCAAACTGCCCCCAGATAAATCGCAATGGATTAAACCTGGAGTTTTCAGTTGCTTTTTGTACATTGTGAAAAGAACAGCGTTACCTGTTACAAAAAGCGTTTGGGTGTGTTGGACCTTTGGGAATGTGTTGAAGCAAATCCACTGAGCTGACAAGGGTTGTAATCTGGTCATCTCTGAGCATGAGTATGTGTGAAATGTTCATGTAACATCAGACACTAAGCAATATCTTTTGCCCATATGGTATGCAGTTAGCAGGAGATGGACACTAGTTTGCTGTTGCAAAAAGAGGGATTTTGGGGGTTTATTAGCCAATATAACCCTTTTCCTGAAATCATAGTAAAACGGCAACATGAAAAATCCATCAATCTTTCTTTAAACAGACAAAGTTCCTGTTAATTTTCATTAAAAATAAAAAATGGTAAATACAAATGTTTTTCTGGCAGATGAATTTTACCTGAACATTTTCAGTGATCGGTTTTCTATTTGTTTTGTCATGTTTTGTACAGTCTTTTAAGTGTTTATTTAAATGAATAAAATGTTACAATGGAATTATATTTATTTATTTATTTTTGTCTTCTGTTAGCTTTTGTTCATATATATATTGTTGCAGATTTATGTAGAAAGGGAGCTTTTAGATAAAAGAAGTGATAAAATGTCTGGTAAAATTGATGTAATGATTAAGTTTAATGTGTTCAAAGTTTGCTGTCACATCGAGTCCAACAAAATGTGCTTATTACTATGCTATTTTGAGTTTACATCTAAATTTTATTTCTTTTTTTTTGTAAAAATGTCAATTTGTTTCTGAATTTAGTTTCCCCTTACATGAATCTTTCATTTCTGAAGTTCTTTTATACAATTCTGAATGCAGATCTCGTTTTTATTTTTCAAAATTCTAAATTTACATCTGTATTTGTATCTTTCTGATTTCTCCTTTCAGAGTAAATAGCTTTAGCCTAGCTCTGATACTACTTTCATCTGCTGTATGTGATTTATGTTTTTGACAGCATCCGCTAATGGGTTGTTATTCTCGATTCATGGCATAATATGAGTTTGGGAACATTGATATGACTGTGTTGGGGGTTTGAGAGTAAAATTAGCACCGCTGAAGGAAACTGACACTACAGTGGCTTGAATCCTGCTGTCCCTCTTGGTCATGGCCGTGTTCGCCGTGTGTCATATTTCAGGGGACACCGCCGCTGTTGCAGTTTCACGCAAGCTTCACTGTTCAGGACATGGTTAACAATGTGCACTGTTCACTTGTTGACAGGGGAAATCACATATACAGGAAAATATTCGTAACTCGGGGTTAAGGAAGCGGGGGCACCTGTGACTCTTTTTCAAGTACGCAACCTTGAGCTCAAGAATATTTGTAATCTATTTAGAGCAGGCGCTGAGTAAGGCGAACTACTGCGCTCAACGAGACATGATCCCAACACGAAGCTGCACTCTCCAAGACTGGCTTTTATTTTAAATAACGCCACCATTTCTTGATTATCTTCGAAATGGACCGTGCTGTGAAAGGGGAATGTGAGGGGGCTGAGCCAGAGATGGAGGAATTGCAGGACGTGGGCTCTGGAATAATGGATATGGGCGACGAGGAGGAGATTGAGGAACTTCATAAAAGGTAGTTTTCTCACGGTTGCTTTCTAGTTAAAACGTTTTGGGAACAAAGATGTTTCAACACTGCTGTTCCTCAAACAAATGAAATCTTTTCAACGGTTGTTTTGTTAGTTTAAGAGTTGCACTTAACAGAAATGGACGTTCAAATTATTGTTTTGCATATATAACCTTTTTTGGACATGAGGCCTATTTGATAGAACATATTATCGATTATTTATTAATAATATAGAATGCAATATAAGAATACAATATTTACAGCATTTATTTATTATTTTATTCTTGCTAAGTTGCAAAAAAATTATGACGTCATTACTTTATTACATCATTAAGTAACCTAGATTCAACTTTAAATTGTGATAAAATTCCTGATGTTACTTTGGAATAAAATGTTTGGTAAGATCTACATGAGACACGCAGGTGTTTTTGTATATTACATTTAATTTATTGAGATATCTTTAAGTGTACATTTTGTAAGTACATTTTTTTGAAACACACAAACATTGTTGTAATAATTTCGATTTGTTTTATTATAGCCTACATACTATTTGTAAAAACAGTAGACACCACTTATTTATGATCATGTACTTTCTCTTTTAAATAAAACATTATTTTTCTGTTTCACATTTTATTAGCTAGTAAATTATTGTTTATTAAATTAATAAGATAATTTAATTTTGTAAAAAAGCTTTCTGTAGAATGATTTTGGGATTATTGTAACAAAACTTAATACATGAAATGAAAAATAAAATATATATTTTTAACTTTTATTTAATGTATACAATGCAAATCTAAATAGATCCACTTATTTGGTAAACAAAGCAAGTCGTGCATATAATATATTCACTAAAAGACAGAACATGCTTCACAAACGGTATTGTACATGAATCATATGAACATTTTCATATTAGTAAATAATATTACTGACATTTACGAAAAAACAATACATATACATTTACACAATTAAATAAATAGACTCAATGATGAGCTAAAAATCTGTGGAAATCTCCCCACGCGGATTCTGTGTGGGCCTACTTATCAATTGTAGGTAGTTTAATAACAGGGTGCACTGTTATAAATAAATCATTATTAATAAACAGTGGAACCATTTAAATCAGTAGCATGAGTGTGCTGCTAAGAATCTCTCTGCTGCAGAGTTTTTTGACTGGACAGTCTTTTCCTCTTTTGTTCATTCATTTTCTTTTTGGCTTAGTCTCTTTATTAATCTGGGTCGCCACAGCGGAATAAACCGCCAACTAATCCAGTATATGTTTTATGTAGTGGATGCCCTTCCAGCTGCAACCCATCACAGAGAAACATCCATACACACTCATTCGCACTCATACACTACAGACAATTTAGCTTACCCTATTCAACTATAGCGCATGTGTTTGGACTGTGGGGGCAACCGGAGCACCCGGAGGAAACCCACGCAAACATGTGGAGAACATGCAAACTCCAAACAGAAATGCCAACTGACCCAGCCGAGGGTCAAACCAGCGGCCTTCTTGTGCATTTCAAAATTGACAAAAAGAAGCCAAATAAAATAAAAATATTCTAAAAAATAATTTTGATAAAATTATTAAGGCAATCTGAAAAGTTACTTTAGCAATAAAATCTGTCAATAAAAGTGATGAAAAGACATCACTTGTGTGTTTTATAAATTTTATAATATATATAAATGTTAAAGTATTTATAAATGTTTTATAAAAGATACACTATGTGGCTATGGCATTTATAAATTTCCATAAAAATGTTATTGTATATTTATAGATTCATTCATTTTCCTTTAGCCTAGTCTTTTTATTAATCAAAGGTCACCACAGTGGAATGGACCGTCAACTATTCCAGCATATGTTTTACACAGCAGATGCAACCCAGTACTGGGAGACACCCATACACACTCATTCACACTTATACACTATGGCCAATTTAGTTAATCAATTCACGTGTAGCACATGTGTTTGAACTGTGGGGAAAACAGAGCACCCGAAGGAAACCCATGCCAACACAAGGAGAACATGCAAACTCCACACAAAACTGCCAACTGACCCAGCCGAGGCTTGAACCAGTGACGTTCTTACTGTGAGGCAACAGTGCTACCCACTGAATCACTGTGTCGCCCTATTGTATATACAGTTGAAGTAAGAATTATTAGCCCCCTTTAAAATTATTTTTTAATTTATGTTTTTATTTTAATATTTTACATATGATGTGTAACAGAGCAAGGGAATTTTCACAGTGTGTCTGATAATATTTTTTCTTCTGGAAAAAGTCTTATTTGTTTGATTTCAGCTTCAATTAAAGCAGTTTTAAATTTTTTAAACACTATTTTAGGGACAAAATTATTAGCCCATTTAAGTTATATTTTTTTAATAATCTACAGAACAAACCATCATTATACAATAACTTGCCTATTTACCCTAACCTGCCTAGTTAACCTAATTAACCTAGCTAAGCCTTTAAATGTCACTTTAAGCTGTATAGAAGTGTCTTGAAAAATATCTAAAAAATATTATTTACTGTCATCATGACAAAGATGAAATAAATCAGTTATTAGAAATGAGTCATTAAAACAAAAAATTATACACTTTTTTATTAAAAATTATGTTTAGAAATGTGTTAAAAAAAAAAACCTTCCTTCCATTAAACAGAAATTGGGGAAAAAAAGGTCTAGTAATTCAGGGGGCTAATAATTCTGACTTCAACTATATATATATAAATTTTTTAAATAATAAAAAAAGTCATTCATTCATTTTCTTTTTGGCTTAGTCCCTTTATTAATCTGGGGTCGTCACAGTAGAATGAAACACAAACTTATCCAGCATATGTTTTACGCAGCGGATGCCCTTCCAACTACAACCCAGCATTGGAAAACATCCATACACACTCATTCACACACATACACTCTGGCCAATTTCAGCTTACCCAATTCATATGTACTCGCATGTGTTTGAACTTGTGGGGGAAACCGGAGCACCCGGAGGAAACCCAAGCCAACATGGGGAAAACATGCAAACTCCACACAGAAATACAACTGACCCAGTCAAGGCTCGAACCAGTGACCTTCTTGCTGTGAGACGTGCTACCCACTGCGCCACTATGACACCCATTTAAAAATTATCTATTTAAAATATTATAATATAAAATTGTAATTTTATTTTACTATTGGTAAACCAGATTCTATTAAAAGGAGACATCTTATCATCTGCCTTTGGTAGTAATTTTTACCATTTTAAGGGTTAAAGCTTACTAAACATACAGAAATAGAATATGTGTCTATGACATTATAAATTATATTTCTAAATAATGTTTTTGGTTAGCTTAAAGGAAGCTGTGCAAGATCCATCTGTGAAGCCTAAACTACAGTGTCTGATGGTGGACCCATCCTTCTCCATGGTGACAGTGCAGAGCGAGGACAGTGGGATCGTATGGGAGACTGCTTCTAGCAGATGCTCTACTCCATGGGCTTCAGAGGGAAGCTCGCCATCTGAACAGTACAGCCTAGAAGGTTCTGGCACACAGGGAAATATTGTAATTATAATGGACGAAGACAGAATTAAGAGGAAGAAAACAAGCAGCAGAGGCAAGCTGGGTGAAAGGTTTAAAAAGTCAGGCTCCAGAGTGCCAAAAAGTCGGGTGGGTGAGGAAAGACCTGCGATGATAGAGGTAGCCCTGCCAAATATACGACCTGAAAGTAGTGAGGATGATCTCTCTGCTGTTAGCAAGGATCAAGATCTCTTTAGTTTGGTATCGGAGGGTTTTGAAATACTCAATATTGTCGTACCTTCAAAGCTCGCTACAGTAGATGAGGAAGATAGCACTGAACTGACAGAAAATTTGGCCTACTTGGATAATACCCCAAAGATAAAATCCAAACCTAAGCATGAACCTTTAGAAGCAAATGGTTATTGTGTGAGCTCAGAAGCTAACGAAATAAAGCAAAATGAAAGCTTGAATGATTCATCCCAGATCTCAGATGATAAACAATCCAAAAAAGATGAAACTCAAATGGACTATCTTGAAAAATTCACACTGTTAGATGAGCAGGCACCTAGTGATGGACTTGCACCGACAGAAAATCTTGTAGCAGAAGTGACTGTCCAGCCAGAGGTACCTCCGGCGAATCAGAAAGAATCAAAAGCAGATGAACCCATTGAGGAGGATTCCTTTGTGATCATTAGCGATGTTGAAATCGCAGGTGAACTTCTCGATGAAGTCTTCTACGGAAGTAAATCCAATGCAGAGCCTGTAGTGCCTCAAGAACATGGACGAATCACAAGACAGAGCTCTAAATCTTTAAAAGAAAGTGGATCAGTCTTATTTGGGAGTCAGGAATGTATTCTCACACCTGTTTACCTTCCAACTGGACCACCAAAGATCATTGATCAAGTCCTACTTGAGGAACCACGAGCAATGTCCTTCCATTACTCAGACCTCTATGAGGACGCAATAGGAGACCGGAAGAAGGAAGATGAATTCTCTGATACTGAGAGTGTAGTTTCTGAGAGGTCCTTCAAAAGAAGATGCTCTGACTCAGATGATGGAGATGGATATTTGGAGAAATTCACTCTGAAAGATGAAACACCAGCCGCTGCACTTGTACCCGAGGACAAAGGGAAGGTAGATGGGGGGATGTTAGTATGGCCACAAAGTAAATTTGAACTTACCGGATGTTTGGAAAGAGCACAAGAAGAAAGTGATGAAGTAACTGTTGAACAACAGTGTGCACCGGATAAAAATAAAAGTGAAGCGAAGTGTGAGTCCACAGGGTGTTGTTCAAATGGACACTGTGGTCCCGAAATTCAACCAAAGGTGGAAGTAATCATTAAAGAAAAAGTCATATCGGATGACTTGGTTGCAAAGCATAGAAGGGAAGATATCAAGCCATGTGATATCACTGTCAGAATCAAGGACACAACTATCACAACTAAAAGTGAGTCTGATGACAAACACCCTCCACAGGTGGTTGAGCCTAAAAACAAAACCACTAATAAAGAAGAACATGGTAGACAAAAACCAAAAGGTCTGACTGCTCGTATTGAAGTACCAAGGAGTTTAGAGCATGAAGATGTTAGTAAAACTAAGGATGAACTTGAAATTCTTTCTAAAACAAAGATCTCAGAGAATATACAGGTTGAGATACCACATGAAGTTGAAAAAGTTAGGGTTTCTAAGGACAGCATAGGGAAAAATAATAAATCACCTGATGTCATTACTGACATTCAGAAAACGAATATGATTACAAAATTTGACAAAGGAGAGAAGGACGAAACACAGATGCAGAGCAAACTTCTAGACAAAGATAAAATTCAAAGGGTGGATAAAGGCAAGACTGAAATTGTAAAAAACCAAGCACCAGAAATATTTGCTCAAAAGGTTATCAGTATCAAAGAAACACCAACAGATAAAACAGAGCTTCCAAAAGCTAAAGAACTACCAAGAGTAGAAAAAGAGGACAAACCTTTAAAAGAAACTTCTAAGGCTTCTGGAGTAAAACATTCTGCAAAATCCAGAGAAATAGATTCTCTAGTGCACCAAAAAGGAGAAACACTTGCTGTAGTTGAGGAGAAAGTAAGTGAAGGATTAACACCCAAGTCAGAGAAACATGAGAAAGTAATTGACATTATTGGAGCAGTGCAAGAGGTCGATGCACAAATCAATAGTATAGAAGTGTTAGCAGAAATTAAAAAGAAGCCAGAGTCTAACATTACTGCAGTTCTCAGAGGATCAGAGCAATCACATTCAAGTAAAATAGTTACAACAACCACTGAGCTTCTGACTAAACCTGAGATTACAAATGAGACGAAAATGCCCCCAGAACTAGAAAATGATTCCAGCTCAGCAAACAATAAAGCCAAAGAGGACATTTATGTAGATAGACCTACAGCTGAGATACCAATCCTGAAACAAAGTCTGGAAAAGCAAAAGAAACTTATTTACATACCTGAGATTGAACCTAAGGTCACAAAAAAGCTAGAACAAGTTGAGGAAATCAAGGTAGATGTTGTAGAGGAATCAAACAAGAAGGCAGAAACCACACAAGAGCCTGTTCAGGAGGAGATACCTTCTGAGAACAGAGCAAAAACTGAGATTGAAGACATAGTTGAGTCAAGGCAAGAATGTAGCTTGTTGGTTAATGAAAAGGAGACATCTGTTCCAGAAGTCACAGAGAACAAGAGTATAACCGCAGACAAAGAGGACTCTTCAAAAGTAAGACTGTCATCTGTTGTACCAACAAAGGAGGTAGAATTCGAAGAACATAGTAAAATAAACGATGTAACCACAGAGATACCTGTCAAAGAGAATTCTGAGATTAAGATTTTACCTCTAGCATCAACATTAGAGAAAGGAAAGAAAACTCAGATTGAAGATATAACAGATTTACCGGAACCCATCTCACCTCCTCCACAAGTTGATGAAGAAGACTCCTCCGTGATGAGAGTTTCACCATTAGAGCCAGAAGATAGTAAAAAAGCTTATGAAGAAATACATGGAGGAGGAATAAGCCTAAGTAAGAATAAAGGTGTCTTCTCGTTATTGCGAAGCTACACACCTCAAGAGGACCTCTCGGCCTTGAGCTTTGACCCAGATGTGCAGCGGGACATTGCAGAGGAGCTTGATTATGAGATGATCGATGAACAAGAGGCAAAACAGTCTGAACAAGCAAGAACTGAGGATGGGAAAATTTGCCTGCCAGATCAAGCTCTGGAGATGGGCTTTGAATTTGTTGAGGATTTAGACAGTGCCCAGTTGGCAGATGAACTTGAAGAGGATGTAGAAATTCAACCAATGGATGCATTCTGCCTTGATTGTCTTTGCCCAATACTGCTGAGTGAGGCTGAACATCAAAATCATAAGGTGGCTTCTCTGGGAGAGGCCTTTGACAGTATGAAGGTGAGTTAAGTTCCCTTACTTTAAGAGTGCTAAGACATGATTTCCTGGCATTAGCTTGACATTTGATCTTTCTCTCAGCTGGCCTGCCTAAAGAGCTTTAGTTATGAAGTCACTGAATGCTCAAGTGTTTTATGCAAGCAGGACATGCAAATGGCAAAAGCACACAATCGGCAGTAAAACAAATGAATATTTGTTGATTATAAGAGAATGTCTGGGTGTGAATCAGGTAGAGACAGTGGGAGATTGTTTACTTTTATTGGCCTTTGACAGCATTCATAGCGGATGAGTCAGAACTGACTGACTCATGGCAAGGCAAGCGCTGAAATGCCCCTCTCTGAAAGTAGACAGCTGTTTCCATGATTCATCTGCAATTTATTCCAAAGCAATGCACCAATGTGAACTGACATTTACAAGCAAATACAAAAGAGAAATTAAAATTATATATTTGCAGGTATTTGTAGGTATTTAGATGTACCTCAAAATGTTTATGATTTCCGTCTAATGTACTTTTCCATGTGATTTTGTTTTCAGAAAAGACTAAGTGAAATGATATCAGTTTTGCAGTCAAGATCAGAAAATATCGAAGACTTTGTGTCTGAGCTTGAGGTGGCATACAACACAGTGGAGGTAGGAAGAAACCCAACAATTTGTAGTTCTTACTTGGTAGACTAAAACAATCCTATAGAGACATGGACGATATTTGAGTGCATAGACTATAGTATCCATCTGTCTGTCTGGCTGTCTGTCACTAACAAAAACCTAACAACTATGTTAGGACATGCGAACATGATAGAAATGTGCTAAAGCATGCTAATGTTTTATAACATGTTTAAAACATGCTGGCTCAAGTTTGTAATTTGCTAAATATGCTAGCAAATTGCTAATTATTGCCTTACTAGCATTGTGTTAGAAGTAGTGTGCCACACGCATCTTTTTGAGTGACACTGCCAGCCGTTTGACCGCCCCCTAGGGGCTGTCTGCAGTACAAATCATAATGTTAACCAATAAGACTTGAGCCTAAAAAAAGTAATAATTATACTTGCAATAAATTTTCCCAAAAGACAGTTTTGGTCAATTGAGGCACTGGTTATCAAGCTGATATAAGTTCTGCTGTTCATCTTTGCAAACAGTTTGTTTTTAGCCAAGAATTTAATGCTATAAAAATGGGGCGTGTCATCATGATTGACAGTTGTTATTGAGAGCTTCTCTAAGCAGACCGTCGGAGATTCAGGAGGAGATTTTAGTAATTAATTTTTAATTTTTGTGCTATTTTATCATGATAAAATTAGTTTTTCAGAAGCAAACTATACTTTCTGACCTCCAGGATCTGACAGATCACTGTTTGTTCAGTCAAATGTGGGCTTTTGTTTGCTGATACATGCCGAACGTTATCATGTCAGAGAAAACATTATCTAGCATCAATTCTGTTTTCTGGATCTAAAATAATGATTACGAAGACAAAACTAATGCTAGCCTATCTCCACATCGATCTCCTGTAACGTTACTTGAACTTGATTTATAGGACATCTCTGAAAATTTGAGTTTTGGTATGTTATTGAGCTAATCTACTGAATTTGCTGTTTTGAAAATATTAAGTTCTAGAAATAGAATCTTATATAACAAAAAGAGCTGTAAATGTTATTATTTATACACATCATTTACCTTTGGCTTTTTATTTTAAAACTCCTAATAAATATTAAAATGAATGTAAATTCCTCTTTGCCAGATATAATTAAGCCATCAATTAAGCCAAATTAATAAAGAGGCCAAGAAAAAATAATAAACAATGCACAAGCGATGTTCCAGCAGCTGATAGACATTAGTTAACATATTAATACTGCAAAGTTTGTTGTACGAGTTGATAAGGAATATTTTGTATAGTGCTGGGATGTGTAAATATTCTGTAGAAATGTAAAAAATATTGCTGCAATATTATTTAATATAAATGGATGATTTTTCCCACATGGCGAATAGCGGTCCATGATGTGTATATTTTGGGTTCTCTTGATTGTTTATTTAAAATAAAAAACCTTTCTAAAACTGGTATGTGTTGTTTATAATTTATTTTTTCATGGTTTATAAATGTTAATTCTATCCATATGAATATAATAAATACCAACAACCCATTATAAGAGAAATATTTTTGTGCTCATAGCTGAGTCTAACCCAGGCTAGAGTGTATAAAAGATCATTTATTTCTGCAGTCCAACATTGTTTTTATTAAATTATTAAAAAAAAGCTTACACCACACATTTTTAAAATCCTATATAATTACGTGTTTATTGTAGTTTACGTGTTAAGTCCTTATATTTATATTAGCAAGCCTTTGTTATAGTGCAGATACGGGCTGTCAAGTGAGAAGTTCGGGGGCGTGGTTGATTTTATGTACAATCATTTGGTTGGAAGTTCGAGGCTCCGCCTCGGGCTCCATCATGCAGTCCTTCTGCGCATGTCCAGGCTCCAATTTCAGCAGTTTTTTGCGACAGTTTGTGCCCATCATGAGGTGTTTTGCATTCAAAGCGTTCAATAAAAAAGGCGATATCACGTTGTCAGTAACACTTTTTTACAGTCATTGGTTAGAATATGCCAAAATACCATGTTAATTAACGTTAGTAACATGTTTAAAAAGGTGACCAGATGTCGCCATTTTCAGCGGACAGTACCTGTTTTTGGTGTTTTTTTGGGTCTACAAAATTGTTCCTACTTTATGGAATGTTCAAAGCTCCACAAATAAGACCATTTACCCAACTTATGCTGCTGTAGTTTACATTTACATTTACATTTAGTCATTTAGCAGATGCTTTTAAAACAATATTATAATTATAATGATTTATTTAATAAGCATATGGCAACGCATGCTGGTTTGTTGCAGAAACTAGAAACAAAAGTAGGGTACTACCATCATCATTCATCGAAAGACATCTGAACAATCACCCATGCAATAATATGCTCAAAAAAGCATAACAGGTTACATTTTTACCTATTTTTGTAATGTAAAAGTGAATTTTTAACATAAAATGAAAACTTGCCCATAATCAAATCTACTATAAATAGAGCAGTTGCAAAAATATTAATCTTTGAGAAATTGATTCTGAGATGTTCAAAATGCATTGCTTTTCTTTCTAATTTTTCTAAACTAATTTTTAACTCTACACAAATGTAAATGCTCACAACATAGAGGACTTGAATGTTCAGAATCATGTAGGTTGCCTTTTGTGTCACAACATTGATGTAAACACTGTTCACTATTAGCACCTTTATAATTCGCTTAAACTTTTACTGGTTATTTTAGGTGCCAGTGATATTGTGTAAGTAATTGAATGCAAGCAATTACAGCGAGTATGGCTGTTTTTTTCCTTCTTTCTTAACTTGACTGCACTGTAAAACCCAATAAGTTAAGGTAACTCAAACCGTTTGAGGAAAACAATTGTAACAAACCATTTGTGTTAAAAAAAATAATCTACATGAGTACTTTGAATTTACTCCATTTAAGTTGAAGTAATGAGGCATTTAATTAACTAATCACCTTCATCACTGAGTTCAAAACTCTTTTTAAATGAGTAGAATTAACTTTCAGTCATTTTTGAGTTAACTACCCTCATTTCATTTGATAAAGTTGAGTTTTACAGTGAAGCAATGTCCTGGCAGGCGCCCACAATATCTTTGTTGAGGTGACTTTTGAAATCCAGAGCAAGGGTTTTGCAGTGCTTACGCTAGTGCACTGTCAGCTTGGGGATGCTATTAAGCTAGGGAAGGTTATTGGGAACTTATGTGCAGCATTATTGTGCTTATCCCACAGGAGAACTATAATGATTGTGAGAAGACCATAAAGGTACACAATGAGGAGGAGCTGAAGCTAGTGATGGATCAGTATAATGAGATGTCCCAGGCCATGGAGGAGCAGAAAAAGGCCAGACTGGAGCAGTTGTACGACCAGATTGTGTCGTTCCAAGAGAATATCGACAAGGCCAAGGAAACTTTGGAGACAACAGCCAAGGAGGAAGAAGAGACGGATCCGCTTACGTTTATTTCTGTGAGCAATCCCTCATTTGTGTGTTAATTACTCACTTAAGAAGGTCACATGTTTACATCAGAATTCATATATTGATTTTGTCCAAGGCCATAGTTGCATTGGAAGCATTTTAAAGTGCTTAGCTAAGGTTTGTTAGGAGAAATGATGAACTATCTAGAAAGGTTATAGTCTAATCAAATTGTTTTTTTATCACCATTTCTCAGAAATCAAAAGACATCAGTATGAGGTAACTGAATGGCCTGAGTTGTTGATGCATCATTGGCTTGCTGACATCAATGATGGGATTATTGCATGAATTGAAATAGAATCTTGCTGTAATTGCCTTGTTGAGTGTGATGTGCTTAACACGTTGTTTGTACCCTTTAAACTAGGGCTGTGCAATACAATGATACACAAAATATTATGCTCTACCGTTAATATTGTGGTGTCACAAAATACACTGTCTACAGTAATACTTTTTCATCATTTATATGAGCGCAGTATTAAACACCATTATGGCGATACAGACAGAAAAATGAATGAGAGCACTGTGAGAAAGTTGCAATATTCAATGTTCAATCTTTACATTTTTGCATATTATTCAGCGATTTTTCTTTATTTTTTATGTTGGACTTGTAATCATTAGTTTCTGAAAGTGTTTTTATAGATATTTATTTTATATTTCTACATTTTTAATCAAACGTTTGCCCTAAAGTTCTAAATAAAGTGAGAAATATGATCAAAAATGAATGGGTACATTGATTCATACATTCATTCATTTTCCTTTGGCTTAGTCTCTATTTCAGAGGTTGGCGGATGCCCTTCTAGCTGCAACCCAGAAATGGGAAACACCCCCACACATACACTACAGCCGATTTAGTTTATTCAATTCACTTATAACACATGTGTTTAGATTTTGGGGGAAACGGGAGCACACGGAGGAAAGATTCAAACTCCACACAGAAATGCCAACTGGCCCAGCCGGGACTTGAACCAGTGATTTTCTTGCTGTAAGGCGACAGTGCTAACCACTGAGCTGCCTCTTGAATTAGTATATTTCTAAGTATATACTTTAAATGTTAAAAAAGCAATAGTTACTTACATGAGCTCAAATATATAAACTGTTGTTTGATTGAATTTACAGAAACGGTACTTTGTTGTGATATTTATCAATATTTTCTGGACAGTTAAGTCCAGAAAATTTTTCATATTGACACAATTCTAACATTTTTGGCCTTATACATCAACATCAGCCAGATCAAGAACCCTCCAAGAGGTAGGTGTATGTGTGTCAAAGACAACAATCAAGAGAAGACTACACCAAAGTGAATACTGAGGGTTCACTACAAGATGTAAACCATTGATGAGCTTCAAAAACAGGAAGGCCAGATTAGAGTTTTAAAAAGCCTTTAAAGTGCTGGAACAACATCCTGTGGACAGATGAGCTCAAGATCAACTTGTACCAGAGTGATGGGAAGAGAAGTGTATAGAGAAAGGAAAGGAACTGCTTATGATCCTAAGCAGTGAAGCATGGTGGTAGTAGTGAAAAGGCTTGGGCATGTATGGAACTGATTCTCTTGATTTATTGAGAAGTGTTTCAGGCAATATTTTCTGCTCATAGTAAGCCAAATACTTATGAACTCATTGGACGATGCTTCACAGTGCAGATGGAGAATGACTCAAAGCATGCTGCAAAAGCAACCAACAAGATTTTGAAGGGAAATAAGTGGAATGTTATGAAATGGCCAAGTCAATCACCTGATCTTAATCCAATTGAGCATGCATTTCACTCGCTGAAGACAAAACCGAGTGAAAAATGCCCCAAGAACAAGCAGGAATGAAGACAGTTGTTGTAGATGCCTGGCAGAGCACCACCAGGAATGAAACCCAGTGTCTTTTGATGTCTATGAATTTCAGACTTTAGGCTGTAATTGACTGCAAAGGATATGCAACCAAGTATTAAAAAGTGAAAGATTTATGAATATTATTCTGTTTAATTACTTTTGGTCTCTTAACAAGTGGAAGGCACATATGCAAACTGTTGTAATTCTTACAGACTTCACGTGATTTGAAAACCTTCATCTCGGTGTTAGTGAGGCCAGCAGGGGGCGCCCAACCTGCGGTCTGTGTGGGTCCTAATGCCCCAGTATAGTGACGGGGACTCTATACTGCTCAGTGAGCGCCGTCTTTCGGATGAGACGTTAAACCGAGGTCCCGACTCTCTGTGGTCGTTAAAAATCCCAGGATGTCCTTCGAAAAAGAGTAGGGGTTTAACCCCGGCATCCTGGCCAAATCTGCCCACTGGCCTCTGTCCATCATGGCCTCCTAACCCTCCCCATATCATGATTGGCATATCATCACTCTGTCTCCTCTCCACCAATCAGCTGGTGTGTGGTGTGCGGTCTGGCGCAAAATGGCTGCCGTCGCATCATCCAGGTGGATGCTGCACACTGGTGGTGGATGAGGAGATCCCCCCCATTGTGTAAAGCGCTTTGAGTGCCCAGAAAAGCGCTATATAAATGTAACGAATTATTATTATTATTCAAAGCTGACAGTCTGCAGTTAAAGCACGTCCTGTTTGTTTAATTTAAAATCGATTGTGTTGGTGTCTAGGGCCAAAAATGTTAGAATTGTGTCGATGTCCAAATATTTATAGACCTAACTGTACTGTACTACTGTCGTAATAGAACATTTTTGGCATATCGCCCAGCCCTACTTTAAACGTTAGTCAGATCATATTTCACATGTGGTGATCAGCATGATCAGTGTTAAGCAGTGATAAGCTGGATTTTCTTCTTATTTTTGCAGCGTTTCGTTCCAGTGATCCTTCTGCTCATTTTTTAAATAGGTTGAATACAGCTTTGGAATCCACCATGTCACTTGAACTTGGTCCACGAGGCCTGCTGGTTTTTGAGGATTACGCCAAGGGCAAGTCAGGCAATCAGGGGAAAAACAGACAAGCCATTCCAGGTGAACCTCAGCCAAGATTTTTATGGCGAATAAACACCTTAGAATTTTTACTGACTTAAATTATCACTCATTTTGTAGTGCCTCAAAAACCACATCTTCAGCCACAGGAGGCCAATTCTGCAACCAGCACTTCAGTCACTGTGTACTGGAGAGTCAACGAAGATGACATTATCGACTGCTTCCAAGTCTACTGTATGGAAGAGCCACAAGGAGGTTAGAAATCAGGGGTGAACAGGGTTTTACCCATTCATGCTAAAAAAACTGTTGGGGTTTAGACAAATTTGAATACATATGTTTATAATTCGTCGCTTTGGAATTAAAAGGTTCTATCTGCATTCTAAATGCAAATCAGCGAACAATATGCGTGTAACGGTTCTCTTTCCCACATTAACAGGACAGAGACCCTAAATCTACTGTAAATGTAAATTATCTAAATTATCTTAAATTTGCAAGTTGGGGTAAAACAAACAGGACAAATCCAGACAGAACCTTCTAATTCTAAACAGTCATTTTCCGCGTGGAATTTTTCATCATTATCATTCATTGAATCGTTATTTTTTAAGAAATAAAATCATTCTGCTTTTTAATTTAATTAAAAAAAAATGGCATTGTAACAATATGTTAATGTTTGAGAAAGTTACATTTTTGCTTTCTATAATATTTATTTAATGTTTTAGGATGTGTTCTTGTTCAAATTAAGCATACAAAGCTGTGCCTCATAATTTGTCCAGTGCAACTTTATGTAATCATTATGTTAATATTTATTGAATTATATTTATTGAATTATATGCCTTGTGAATTAACTTAAGTATTTGCCCTTTAAGGCTTAATAATAAATTTAAAGAATTCAAAATAAATAAATAAAAAATTGTTTCACATGTATTATATTACATTTTTTAAAAACAGTTTTTCTTTCAACAATGTAAAATGTAACATTTTATCTCAATGTGAAAAAATGCTTCTAAATCATCACATTTACACACGTTTTCACATATTTTTTTTTTATAAAGTATTAAAATGTAAAAACTTAATAAAAAACATCATTTAATGTAAACAAGTTGTCATTTAATAAGAATATTGAAACAAAAACGTCATATAGAACCTTAATTCTAAGGCGATGAATTACTGTAATGCATTAAGAGCCAGGAGGAGCCTTTTAAATTTGAATATCAGGGTAAATGTAACTTTTTCTGTCTTCTGGGAAAGTATCCTCTGTAGTTTCTAATCTGCAGTATTAAATGAAAAAAAGGATATTTAGGCGAAACAAGAAAGATGATCTTTTTATTTTTGATTTCTTTATTGTGTTGAAAAGTTTTCTGATCCTCTCAATGCACCATCTTTTCTTTTGCATTCAGTGAGCATTTGAACCTTCTGTACAGCTGCATATGTGGCCTTCAGTTGTTTTCAGTGTGAAAAGATTTATCTCAAAGTTATAGTCATAATGCTGAAAAACCAAAGAATTTGCGGGGCATGAAGGATTGTTTCTGAAGAACAGCAAACAGTTTAATTGTTCAGGACAAACAAGGGACTCATGAACAACTATCACTAATCAAAAAAAAAAAAAAAAGGAAAAAAACACACAGTTGTGAATCATTCAGGTAACAACACAGTATTAAAAATGTATGTTAAACACAATAACTTACTTATAATGAACTATTATTTACTCTATATCTAAAAATCTTTTGTATGAAATATTTTATTCAGGTCAGAATAAAAAACAAATTATGTACTTTATAAGATCCCTCTTATTTTGGAAATATAATTTACTTTTTACAGATTCTGCGTGGTGTAAGTAAACTTCTGACTAACAGTATTTTAATAAGCACGGGTCAGAATAGACATGTTTTAAAATTTTTGATGAAACATTATTTCAGATATATTTAGACATTTAATTTAAACAAAAGTTATTTGAAAACATCACGTTTTAATTAGGATACAGCTTAGAATTGTCCAATTACTTTTGGACCCTTAACAAGTGGGAGGCACATATGCAAACTGTTGTAATCCCTATACCATTCGCCTGGTTTCAATGTAAATACCCTTAAATTAAAGCTGACAGTCTGCAGTTAAAGCAAATCTAAATTAATTTATTTTCAAATCCATTGTGTTGGTGTATAGAGCTAAAAATGTTAGAATTGTGTCGATGTCCCAATATGTTGCCCACTGCACCCCTGTTCTGATTGACCTCCAGTCAGTGCTAGCATTTTCATAAAAAGAGATTTCAGTTTAGAAGCAGAATGGCAGTTTTTCCTAATGTTTAGAGATGGTTGGGCTCAACCATTCAAAGCTTAATATACAGTCTGATTGTAAAGGTTTATTTTTTTATTATTCTGTTTATTTTGTACTTCATCGGAAGAATCATTTCAGTTTTGTAGCTAATGGTGACTTCTGCCTGTTCAAAATATTAAAAAAGCACTAGGGATTTGTTATTATTTCTCTTGTATCGTACCCATATCGAACTGTGACCCAAAAATGAAGTATTTACCAAACTGCGACATCAGTGTACCATTACACCCCTAATTTCAGTTTGCACAAAAAGTTTTATCTGATGGGGGAAAAATCCACTTATTAGCCTGTAGAAGAATGTCAGTGGGATATTCAGTTCATGAATGCGTGCTTCATTTAAAGTGTGTTAAATGTAATTGACTCTGCAGCTATCTCAGAGGAGTACAGAGTGACGGTGAAGGAGAGCTACTGTAATCTAGAGGAGCTGGAACCTGATAAGTGTTATAAAGTGTGGGTGATGGCGGTAAACTACACAGGCTGCAGCATGCCAAGCGAGAGACTACCCTTCAAAACAGGTCAGTTATTCGCTGTGTAAATCCCCTCTAACTCTCATGATGTTTAAGAGAGCAAGAGGTCACGCTGTCATATGTCTTAATATATCAATCTGAAATGAGATGACCATGATCAGCATCTATAGAGATGTGTTTTCAGTCCAGATTATATACAGTGGGAGAATTAAGTATTAATCAAGTTGTAATTTTTCTCAGAGAACATATTTTTAAAGGTGCTGTTAACTTGAATTCTTCGCTGGAGGTTGAAAACAACCATAGAAATACATATATGCAAAGAAAACAAATCTAATTAGTTATGTGTAATAAAATGAAATGACAAAGGGGAAGAGTATTTAACACATGAAGAAAGGGAGGTGTAGAAAGGCAGTGAAAGCCCAGATAGCAGCTGAAATCTCTAAAAAGTTATTTAGCAACCCTCTGCCCTTAGTCATTTTAAATGAATATTAGCTTCAGTAAAACGGCTACATTAACAGTATGATAAAGATAAAACCAGGGTGGACTTTTCAGCACGACAATGATCCAAAACATAGCCAATGAAACTCTCAAATCACATATATCATTAATAGGTTTGTATAATTAAATACATTTCAGGAGTTGTGTACTTTCTCCTTGTGAGAAAGTACACATATGCACATATTAGTAATTAGTAATTACTAATTTAATGTTTGTATTGTTTGGGTTTTTACCAAAATCTGTTCAAATTCCATGTCAACAGCTCCTTTACGAATATTAATAATAATATTGAAAATGCATCTATAAAAAAATCACTTGTCTTCAGTTTTAGATGTTTAGTATTCAAGTTATGAAATTCAAATTCAAAATAAGAAATTCAAATAAAAAAATAAAAAATAAAGGCATATAAACATTTAGATATAATCAGAATTCAAATTCAGATTGTTTTGGCATAATATTAGCTCCATAGTAGTGAAATTTAAACATTAAAGATTTTCTCCCTTCAAATTAAAGCAAAATGGGAATCTAAACTTAGTGAAAAAATTGAGGATGATATTTGGGAAAACATATGTTCAGAAGCTCATAAGAGGATCAACAGCCATAATTGCAAAGAGTTTGACTGGAAGACAAAAATTGGGTTTTTTAGAACACCATTGATGGTCTCAAAATATACTAACCAACCACAGTCAGAGGAATGCTGGAGGGGTTGCGGGAATGTGGGTAATCATGCACATATATTTTGGGAATGTCCGAAGATACTTCATTTTTGGCAAGGGGTAAAGATTGAGATAATGAAAATTATCCAGATAGATCTACCTTTTACTCCCCTGTTTTTTCCTGCTTGAACGGATACCCCAGGATATATATAATAAAAAAAAGAGATATATATTCTACTTTTGTACTTTTGTTGTACTTTTACTAAGTGCAAGAAAGACCATAACAATAAATTGGATGAAGCCACACCCTCCAACAATAGTACAGTGGATAGAAAAACTTGAATGTATATATAGAATGAAGTATATGACTGCTCAACTTCAACTAAAACTGGATATTTTTAAACAAAGATGGGCACCTGTTACGTTGTATCTGAATAGAACATAGTATTTCTAGGTCCTTTAAAACTAAAAAATATTGTAGGTTTTTCTTTTTTTTATTGTATGTTTTTTTTGGAATTTATTTTTATTTACATCTGCGGCTGCTGTCTTTTTTTGTCTCTTAATAACCGCTGCTGTCACTGAATGTTCTGTTCTGTAAAATGTTTTAATGTATAAAAATATAGTTAAAAAAAAAAAGGTGATTTTCTCCATATTTCAATTTATTGAACCCTCTAATTCCAGATTATTATTTAGCTGCTTCTTAACATCTTAACATACTATACAAACATTAATTAAAAGCTTGTTTATTCAGCTGTCATGTGATTTATAAATTCCAATTTTCCAAAAAATGTGCTTATGGCTGGTTTTGTTATACAAGGTAACATCTGGGATTATCTGTTGTTGAATGTGTGAAGTGTAGCTCATCTCACTGTGTTCCTGCAGCTCCCTCTGTCCCAGTGATCAACACAGAGCAGTGCACAGTGCTTTGGGACAGTGCCACGCTGCGGTGGAGCTCTGTTCAGCCCAGCGCTGTGGACAGCTTCACTCTGGAGTACTGCCGACAATATGCCTGTGAGAGAGAGGGACTCAGGTACTGTTATCCTGTCATATACCCAGCCAAATACAAGCAGAAATAACTCTTCTCTCGGAAGAAAAAATACACAGCTGTTACTGGGGCCATACCCAAAGAGTGTATACAGTAGAAACTATGGGCTACTATTTTGACAATCCATGCGCAAAGTGCAAAGCGCAGGGCGCAAATGCCTTAAGGGCGTGTCAGAATCCACTTTTGCTAATATAAGGATGCAACAATTCGCTTTGCGCCGTGGCGCATGGTTTAAAATAGTGGAGCTTATATTCTTAATGAGTTATAGGTGTGTTTTGAGAATAAACCAATCAGAGTCTCATCTCCCATTCCCTTTAAGAGTCAGTTGCGTTGCGCCATAACGAATTTGCCATTTACATGACGACTTTGTAAGTAGAAAAACTGAGCATTTCACTAGCAGGAAAACAGTTAAACAGAGCATCTACAGCTTGAGAATGAGAGATAAGCCTCCTCATTATTAAATTTCACTTTCGCTTTCGTGGATAGGGAAACCTTTTACGCACAAACATCAATTAGCCTATAATTAATTAATTTTGTTTGTAAAGCTCAAAGATTTGTTTCAAGACTATTTCTAAATTCAGTTCTTATTTCCAGCAAATGAATAAACTAATAATAATAACTAAGTGTTTAAAAAACCTGAGTTATATCCTAATACACATGCTGCCCCATATTGTCTAAAACCTGACAGGTGGGCAAATCTAAGCTTGTTTTTAATAAAACAAATATAAATATGCATATATAAATAATACTGTTAATAATGATAACATTATACAAAAGCAAATTGTTACGAATACACTAAAAAAGCCCCTGGGATAAAGAAGGCATGAAAGTATGGTTTTTATATTTATGTAGGCAAGAAAATAATATGTTTTGTATATTTTAATCCTTTATATTTATATCCTATATATATCCTTATTATATCCTATATATCAGTAATATTTGAATTCTTTTTCATATGTAAAGATATTTGCGTATTGCTCTACATCTTGTGTGTATTAAGCAGTGTGTAAGGGAGGTGCACAACTAACGTGCTCTGCGCTGGACAGTAGACCAGCTTTGTTCTGCTTTATAGAACAGACTATTATAGTTTCTCAAAATAGCAACACGCCAGCAATGTGCCTCAACCCGCCTCCCTTTTTAGATCAGAATGCCTATGGGCGCACATATGAGCGCAAATGCATTTGCTATTTAAACAGCGTGGTGCAAAACGTCAAAACGACTCTTGCGCCAAGCTCAAACTAGCAAACAACAATTGCGTCACGCCTTGCGCAACATTGCGCCGGGTGTATGATAGGGTTCGATATCTTTCACAATTTTATTTTTTTTTATAAAGTCAGTTATTCCAGAAAATGTAAAAAAGAGCCTCATATAATTAAATAAGTTTGAATATTTTGGAAAATAAAAGATATATATAACAAACAATTACAATTCTTGTATAAATATAGAAACACATCTTGTGATCACACAAGTTTTATACTAGTATCCTACTTTTTGGAACTTTTTGTTTTCTTATAGTAAGAATAGTCCAAACAGCCACAATCCAGTTCAGTTAAAAAAAAAACAAGTTAGTAATTTTAAAAAACTTACTTTTCAAATAAATACCCGCTATAAAACACCAGTATCTATATAAAAAGGGGGAAAAGATCTGTGACTATATCTTTAGGGGTATTAGTGTCAGTGTTAATGATAGAATTTTAACTCTAAAGGGCACCCTTGATAAAAATCAACTTTTGTAAGCTGTGTGGACAGAACTGTGTAGATACAGTGTGTCCAGTCATACTGGAGTGATATAAACCCAACAAGTCTCTTTTTTAAAATTTTCTGACATTAAAATAGGACCCAAATCCCAAGGATTTTGAGGCTCAACGCAACGTAACATAGGTTTTTCCCGCCCACTTAATTGATTGACAGATGCCATGTTTCTATAATAACATGAATACACATGTCCACAGAAAATCTTTTTTGCAAAGAAACTGGGATTAAAATATTTGTTACAACTCTTTGTGATTTTTATCATTTTTACAAGTGTAATATTTGTTTTATAATGCAATTTTATAATGCATTTAATAATGCATGTTTGTATTAAAAACAGTAACATCGCTATGTAATTCTTAACCATTAATTACCACGACCGCATGGTATCATTAAATGCTAATATATGTGTGTGTGTGTGTGTGTGTGTGTGTGTGTGTGTGTGTGTGTGTGTGTGTGTGTGTGTGTGTGTGTGTGTGTGTGTATGTACTGCAAATGGCATTTGTTTGTGATCCATCATTTCTGAAAGGCTTAAATATGTTAGACCCCAAATACATCAAATAAACTTGACATTTGTGACTAATGAACTGTATTTCAGCTTCATCTGAGCCTGTCTCTGGCCCCGTTTACACTAGTGCGTTTTAGTTTTAAAACGGCGTTGTAGAATGAAAACGATCCGCGTCCACACTCGCGTTTTACCCAGCGTTTCTGAACAGCTCTCCGTCCACACCAAAACGCTGAAAACGCACATCACGTGACCACACACACACTCTCGGGCAAGCGCTCCAGCATTTCTACCCAGATGAGAGCTCTGCTTGTCGGACTGCTCATCAAGCATCTCCCGCTGGATCTAATCTCACTATATTTGCTAAACGTGATATTTCATTCATCTTGTTGTCTTTATCTAACGACATAGGCCAATTCCCTGACTTTGGTCATTGGAATCTATTAAGTTACTTGTTCATGGGTAACATGTTTTGGTTAAGCGCAAAGATAAGTTAATGATTAATCCAGGTACATTGACTGATCGCTTGCCTTTATTTCCTACAATCTATAAACTTATTGTATGTTATACTTTTATAATTATCGATTATTAAAACTGATATTCAGCAAAAGAGAGGGTTCGTTTCGTATTTTCACTGAAATTGAAAGGAGGCAGTTGTTATAGGCTCCGTTTTGTTATAAATATCCACACAGTGAAGATGACGCTCATATATTCAGCACGGCGCCTCAACATTTCTGCTGTCTGTTAAGTTGCTAATATTAAAAAGAAAATAGGCAGTTCCTTAAATCATGTTTACATTTTATTGTTGAGAAAGTGAAACAACGTAGCCAAGGTGATGTGAATGAAGTTATAAAGTACACTGTTCCCTTTGAAGATTTACCCGTGTCCTCGGTATGTTTTCTATATCAAACTGAGAAGGGGGAGACTGCAGCCTTGATCAAACTTGCGAAGTCTTAATAACTTACAAGAAGAGGATGCGAGACTGAACTGTGTGTGGGCTACTTAATATTGATGAAAAGCCCCAATCAGATAGGCGAACGTTTGCAGCCCCGCCTCCGTTTTCAGATGTCTCCGTCTTTCCCCATCCACACTGAGACGGAGCAGCAGCGTTTTAGAATGAAAACGGCCTTTCCAGCGTTTTCAAAAAGCTCCGTTTTCGGCGCTCGAGAACTCCGTGTGGACGGAGGGCGTAACCGTAGCAAAACTTATGCGTTTTCAAACTAAAACGCACTAGTGTAAACGGGGCCTCTGTCTCTGACTGCTGTTTATCTGATGTAACACATGATAAGAAGCAGACACGCGTGTGGGAATGGTGGGTGGGCAGAAGCAGCTCATTTGCATTTATAGCCACTGGCTACAAAAACCGCTACATATACAGACACCAAAATAGACAGATTCTAGAGGCTATGTTAAATGGTCTGATGGGTATTTTGAGCTTAAACTGTTGGAAATACCAAAGGCTTATCTTATATCTTGTAAAAGGGGTAAAATATGTGTCCTTAGGAGTTAATTTAAAATCAATTGGTAGTCTCACACAGCCAGATATAAAAAGTCTCTAGTTATATGTATATAGCCAGATCATGTATATAGTCTATAATCTTAACAGTGCAGTTGTATTTACCTTATCACTTGTGCTATTAAATAAGCCAATTAAAAAAAATTCACATTTCATAATCACATTTCTTAATGCTTGTGCTCTCAACTGTATTAAAGACTCTGATGTATTTCCCCATGATTCCTCAAGAGTGCACGCTAGAGAAGTGAAGAGGGATAAATTGCACTTATTGAAAACAGTGTTTCCTTACACAGATCCATATCAGGGATAAAAGGCTATGAGCAGAGGGTCCTCCTTCAGCCCAATGAAAATTACCTCTTCTACATCAAATCAGTGAACGCCGGAGGGTCCAGTGAACAGAGCGAGGCGGCTCTCATCTCCACCAGAGGTCAGATTTGTAATATTACTGTCAGTAATGCATTAAAAGGGTTTAGTAGGTTGCACAATAATGGCCCGGGATCAAAAACAGGGCTTAGCTTAAGCCAGGACTAGGCCTTAAATTAGGATATTTATATAGAAAATGCTTTAGAAAAACACATTTTTGTTGCGCATGGGAAGACAAGGCAAGTTTATTTGTTTAGCACACTTTATACACAATAATAATTCAAAGTGCTTTACATAAACAAGAATAAAAGAAGCAAGAAAATAAAAACAACAAAGAATTAAAAATGATTACAGAAGATTAAAGTCTGTTAAAAACAGGTTATAAAGGAATGAAAAAGAAAAAAAACATAATAGTGTGATCTGTGGGATGTAGCACAGTGCTCAGTCAGTAAAGACACAACTAAACAGATGTGTATACAGTCTTGATTTAAATGTGCCAAATGTTGGAGCACATATGATCATTTCTGAAAGCTGTTTTTTGCAGCGAGGGGCGTAGTAGCTGAAAGCTGATTCACCCTGCCTTGACTGAACTCTTGGAATTTCTAGTTTATATGATCCTAATGATCTGAATGATCTGTTAGGTTTGTATTCAGTGAGCATATCTGTAATGTATTGAAATCCTAGGCCAATTATTTTGTGATTTATAGACAAGTAATAATACCTTAAAATCTATTCTGAATGTAGCTGGGAGCCAGTGTAAAGACCTGAGGACAGGTGTGATGTGCTTGAGTTTTCTGTTTCTGGTCAGAATATTGACCACAGTGTTCTTGATGAGCTGCAACTGTCTACCTGTCTTTTTGGGGAGGACAGTGAAGAGTCCATTACAGAAAAAAGCATGGTGTTAAAAGCATGAACAAGTTTCTCTATGTCTTCACTGGAAACAAAGCTTTTAATTTTTGCAATGTTTTTGAGATGAGAGTATGCTGATTTACTTACTGCTTTGACATACCTACTGAAATTCATATCTGACTCTAGAATCACACCAAGATTCTTAAATAGCACTGACTTATTTTAATAAATCTGACTACAATTGATTTTCAGTTATATTTAGTGTGAACTGGACGTGCTGAGTATTTTGATGTAAAAAACTGGACAATGTTGGTAAAAACTGACATTGCGATATTTCATTTTTCTGTGATATATTGTAGGTTATAAATACAATGTCATAATATAACTTAAGTAACTGTTTGGAAGAGTTCATGGTTTTACATTGAATGGAATGATTTATTCAATAGGCAAATGCATAAAATATCCAAAATTATTAAAACAAACACAAACTAAAATAAATTAAAGCACAGATGAAAATAATAAAATCAAACATAAGCATAAATTAAACAGTGTTTTATGGTTTTCGGTGGAGCAACAGTATGGACGTATATAAACTAATTATCAAATGTAAAAAAATATTTGTACAAGTACATTAATTAAGCACAATTAAATTTTATAAAGCAGCAAACTTTATAATTTCTCGTGTACAAATGGTTTAAATTTGCTTTAAATCTTACAGTCACCGACCTTTGAAAAAATCCAAGTACAAATTCCTGGTTATTTCTAATCCCAACTTGACATTGATCCTGCTATGTGACTATTGCAGATTTGCACATTGCGATATTGATGTTAAAACAATAAATTGTGCAGCCCTAATTCCAAATGAAAATGAATTTTGAGTAGAGGTGGTGCTGTCTTTTTGTGCATCATTCCTCTGTAGCTAACTAATGGTAAAAGGGGAGTGTGGTTAAGAATATTGTGGCTGAAACTGTCAAACTGATGCCAACAGAGAAGAATCACCACTCAAAACAAAGAAGCAATTGTTCAGACTTTGACTTAAATATTTCAAAACAAATAAATCAGCTGTATAACATGAACGGTTTAATTGTTCGCCTAAAAAAAGCAATGCATGCTAACAAAATTAACAATGTAAATTTTGATATTACACAAATGTTGAGACAGCTCAAAGATGCAATTTAATCTAGGACCAGCCTTAAAGGGATAGTTCACTTAAAAATTAAGATTTGCTCACCTGTCTGACTTTGCTTCTTTTGTTGAACACACAACAAAAAAATAATAAAAATCTGAAGAAAGCTGAAACCAGTAACCACTTACATCAAAGGAAGAAAAAAAATACTTTGAAAGTCAGACAGATTTGGCACAAGTGAAATGAGAGTAAACGATGGCAGAATTTTAGCCTTGTCTCTTTAAGCCTTGTCAGTGAAACTTGGTAAATTAGTCTTATACATATTCTGCTTGACGTATTGGTGCTTGATTTCCTGATTCAGAAGCATAGGTTAAAAATGAAGTTATATATTAAGTGTACATGGTTTTGTACACTCATAACTTTATTTGGTACATCTTGCTAGTATTGAGTTAAAAGATTGCTGTCAGAACTGCAATAATTCATACGACATCGATTTAGCAAGAAGATTTAAACATTGCTCAAATGTTTGTCCATATTGGCATGAAGCTTTTCACAGTTGCTGCAGATTTTTTGGCTACACATCCATGATGTGAATCTTGCTTATTCGCCTTTAAGGTGCTCTACTAGATTAAAATCTGATGACTGCAGATTACTTCAGTTTAGTAAACTCAGTCAATGGTCAGGAAACTAGTTTGAGATAATTAGAGCTTTTTTATATATATGGTGTGTTTTCCTACTGGAAGGATAAGAGTGCATTGTGGTAATAAAGGTATGGACATATTTGCAAGCTCTAAAAAGGTAGACATTTAAATGATTCTCACTTGCAGTGTCGGCCCGTGGGGTTGAGGGGGCCTAGACAAGATAAAAAAAAGTCGGGTTCGCTGGTGTAAAAACAGAAGTGCAAGCACAAAAAAATACAATTTTAATATTTAAGTGTATACAATTTTATTAACTGTAACCTATTTAACATATAATTCCTATGTAAAAATATTTACTCAGATTTAAAAATATTTTTGCAAGCCAGAAAACACTCATTTAAAAAATGAAGTATATAAGTTTGACGTATACAAATAAAACTTGAACTGAAAATAAATAAAATATATATATATGCATACATAATTGTCACGTTAAGCTTGATCAAAACAATAACAAAATGGGAACAAAAAGATTGCGGATTCAAGTGCAGATTTAATAGATATGTAGTGCAGAAAACAGTGACAAAAATCCAAAATTTCAAAATGCAAAGTAACTAATAAACAACAAAACAAGAAACGAGAAACGAGACAGATAAACACGAACTAGACTTTGGCAAAATATGAGGCAAGATCAGGAACATCAACTTGGAATAACAGACTTACTGGGAACAAGAAGACAAGGAAGACAAGACAATGACGCGATGACAAACAGTGGTTGAATGACTAAATATATAGTCCTGGTAATCACGGAGAATGGAGTCAGCTCTGGTTGTAAATCAGTGTAGATGACAGACCGGGTGTGTGCGCGAAAGAATGTATGGAAATGTAGGCTGCCTCCGAAATCGCCTACTACTCAGTAGGTACTGCATTTTAATTTAAACGTACTACTCGGCCGTTAGAAAAGTACGTTCTATACAGTATGAATGTGAAAAGTATGAATGGAATTCGGACGTACTACATCCGCCATTTTGTCATGGTCACGTGACCTACCTGCGTCAGTTGCGTCGCTTTACTTCCATTCATGAATTCGCTCGCGGGGCATCATGGGATAGTGCAGCATGCATGGGATGCGTACTCCGGAATCTCGCCGGAAGTAGTAAGTCATCCGGGTACTTCTCGCATACTGATTTTCAAATTCTATGAATTCGGACATACTACTCGGCTCGCATACTGATTTTGGCGTACTATATAGAATGGAAGTATGCGGTTTCGGACGCAGCCGTAGTCTTTTTGGGCGCTGTAGTTCCACTCAGTGTCCATTGAAATACAGCGCCCTCAGGTGGTCACTGACAGTCGTGACACATAACTATTAAACCGTGGGCTAACTGTATTGTTGCATCCCTAATAACTAGAAATGCAGGAGACATTTTAGCTTGTTTTTACACAGAGATTCACACAAACAAAACTTTGCATTATGTGTAAGATTCTATGTTGACACAATGAGGAAACCTGTGTTTTTAGCAAGGTGAATTATCGATCATTGATTATTTAATGAAACATATTTAATGTGGCCTATTTTTTTCTCACATATTACACAAATATTTCTGTGATCATGGGCATTGTTGGATTTATTAAATCAAGTCCCAATACTGCACTACTAAATAATGTATTATGCATAGCAGAGCATAACCTTTACTTTGAGCTTGCTTTTCTTCCTCTGCCTTTCTTTTCTTCCTTTTTTCAGCTTCACAAAGATGCCGTTTTGTTGCCATTTCATTTCAAATTAAAATTCGAATAAGATCGATTACAATTAGCAATGACACTTGTGACGTAATATTACATAAGACTTTTAGACACTTTTTCGCCTTTATATTGAACGTGAGCATTTTGGAGAGATATGTTGACTCTGTGTAGAAATACATTACATCATTCTAGTTCACCCAATAAGCCTTCGTGGGTGGTGTTATGCAAAATAGTGTGTGGTGCTGCTAGGTTTGTTTCTAATATTTTCTGTTTTTATTCATACTGTTGTTCTGTATTTATTATCAATTTCAGCTATTTGTCATGTATGAATTATATAGAGAGAACAGTGTCTATGAAGCCCTTCAAGAAATGCAGGGCCCTAGGCGATCGCCTATTGTCTGTTGGATGGGGCCGCCACTGCTCACTTGGCACCAAATTAAGCCAAACGTGTCAAGAAAATATTCACACCACTACAACACCAGCCGCCTTAACTGTTGATGAAAGTCAGGATGGATTAATGCATTCATGGTGTTTGTTTAAATCTGACTCTTCTATCTAACTGTCGCAACAGAAATGACCATCGTGATTAGAGCCAGCAATCATTCTCCTGTCTACTGTTGTCAAGGCAGTCTACTCTGACCTCTGTCCTCTGGCACAAAACAAAGAATTTTCACTCACACAGCTGACGCTCACTGCATAGTTTGTCTTTTTTGGACTATACTTTGTAAACCCTAGAGGTGTGTGAAAATTCTAGTAGATCAGCAGTTTTTAAAATACTCATGCTTAGGTTCTTAAAACAGCTTTCTTAGCAGCTACTTAGCTTTTAGCTGATCCTCTTGACCACATCTAAATGCCTAAATTATTGACTGAAAGGATATCAATCATTCTTGGTTTTGTTTTTATTATTAGTATTATGAGATTGGTGAAAGTTGTTTTATATTTAGGTACGAGATTCCACTTCCTCAGAGAATCAGCGCACTCTGTGCTGAAGGTTTCAGAGGACAGGAACTCAGTGGAGTACCCACACGACACCTACAACAAGATGTCCTCAGTCATAGAGTAAGTGCCTCAACTTTCACTGTATATACATGGGTAAAAGATAAAATGTTTTGTTTTTTTTGTATGTCAAAATCAAATAAAATCCACAAAATTAATTTAATGTAAATTAAAAAAAACAATGAAATGAATATAAAGGGTCTACTTTAATGTTTGAGTAGTTTTCGAAAATGAAATGAAAATAAAATATGTGTGCATTAATGTTCTGTTTTCATTTAATGTAACAACAACATACTTATTATGTATGTTATGTAATAACTAGTTGTGGGCAACAATGAATTGCGATTAATCGCATTCAAAATAAAGGTTTGTTTATGTGTACTGTTCGTGTAAATATTTATTATGTTTATATAAAACACAAATGCATCCATATATCTGAGAAAATGTTTATTTATATTTAGTTAGATGTAAAATATATAAGTATATGATACAAATGATACACCTTTTAATATCTGTGCAAAAATGTTTGGATTTTAGGAATGTTTTTTGTATTCCTAGTATCTAAATATACCTCATATGCCTAATAAAAAGAACATTTCAGATGGCGTTCAGGGGTTTTTGCATCTGAAGTCTTCTAACCGAGCAATTTTTCTAAAAGGGTCCTAATTAATTAGTATTTGGGGGCTTTAATATGATCCTGGTTTAGTTTTTTATTGTCATCAAGTGATTCTTGCTGTAAATGCCTAAATAAATAAGTTACTTTAAATGAGTGTATTCTGTTAAAAAAATATAAATAAAATAAATAAATAAATAAATAAATACATAAAATTAGATAAAACTACACATTCTAATGTACAAATGAAAATTGTATTATACTTTAACATACTCTACTTTGTCTTTAATTCACATACATTTAAGCAGGAAAAAAACACATGAAATTGCACATGAAATTGCACATTATGTATGCTATTAATGTGTTTGTATTTTTAAACATGTAATTTAAATGCTATTCTGCAAATGCACTAAATGCACTATATGATCTTGAGTTACAGCAAAAGCCTTTGTTTTACCATGTTCCCAGTTGTCCATCAGTTATGGGGGAGATTTTACAATCGAATGGGTATTACTACTGGGAGACAGAGGTGTCGAGATGCAAAGCGTACCGCATCGGCATTGCATATCAAACTACATCACAAACCAGGACACTGGGAGAGGACAGCGCCTCCTGGTGTCTGCACTGCGTACCCACATCTATAAGGTATGAATGCGTTTCATTATTCCAAAGAGAACATCTATTAAAAGCAAAGGACATGGAATATTTCTTTTTATTGGCCACTAACACAAAAAAACTGTGTATTTATTATTTTTAGATTTCACCTTAAAGAAGCAACCTGGTAGGGCATATTTGGAGCTGAATTCTAGACTGTGGAAACACTGAGTAATTAGGGCTTTTTGGCAATCATTGCAGTAAATTAAATAGAGCTTTCAAAAGGAATCAAAGTAATAAATCTGAAAATGTGTTTTCTCATTAAATCTGTCTCTCTGAGTCGTTAAACACGCTTTCTCAGTCCTCAATAATAATTTTGTTTTATCGCAATAAATCCTTTTTTTGCTGCCAAGTCAAGTTTAAACTAAAAGAGAAGACGGTTTTATGAGCACAAACATTATATTGTATGTGGATGTTTTTCAATAAAAACAAGTTGCTTACTTCAGAATTAGTTTTTTTATTGGGAACACAGCCTTGAGTTGTGTAATTAATTACAGTATGTACGTACAGTAAGTATGTATTTATAATTACGTCTACACTTAATCTGCAGACACCAACATTTAAATGTGTGTCAATAAATATTTATGCAGTTTTTTATATTAATTTCAGTATTATAATTAGTAGTCATATATATATATATTATAATTAGTAGAGTAGTAGTCAAATATTTATACAAATTACATACAATACAATTTGTAAGTGGATGCATTATAGGATAAACCGTCTGTAGCCAAACAACTGGTTCAAATTGGATTTTGAATGTAAAGCTTACATAAAAGATAGATGGATAGATAGATAGATAGATAGATAGATAGATAGATAGATAGATAGATAGATAGATAGATAGATAGATAGATAGATAGATAGATAAATTTATATATATATATATATATATATATATATATATATATATATATATATATTATATTATATAATTCCTTTTTCGATAGTCTATAGAACAAACCAACATTTTACAATAACTTGCTAATTACCCTACCCTGCCTAGTTAACCTAATAAACCTGGTTACACTTAAGTTGTATTAAAGTGCCTTTAAATGTCACTTTAAGCTGTATAGAAGTGTCTTGAATAATATCTAGTAAAATATTGTTTACTGTCATCCTGGCAAAGACAAAAATAAATCAGTTATTAGAAATTAGTTATTAAAACTATTATGTTTAGAATTGTGCTGAAGAAATCTTCTCTCTAAATTAAACAGAAATTGGGGGGGAAAATAAACAGAGGAGTTGATAATTCAGGGGGGCTTTTATTCTGACTTCAACTGTATATAATGCTGTAAAGAAATAGTGAAAAAAAAGGTTTGTAGATTCTGTCTGGTCTTACCCTAATCCAAAAATATGAATTTAAGCAATGAAGAGTCAAATTGCATTAAAAATAATAATAATTGATTCATTTACAGGACATGCAAACTTCACTGTGCTCCAAAGCATTGTGAACTCTACAGATACGTATCATGTGAAGAAGTGTGATCCACAGCAGAATTAAATTAACTTTACACTTTACTCTTAAAATTAACTTTAATTTTGTTGCGTTGTAATGGCCAATTAAAAAGCACAATTCTACATTTCAAATTTGTTTTTAAATAAGCCTTCACCAAATGGAATAATGTATTTGTATTTCAAATTTTGTCTAGTATAAAAGTGATATTAGTGTCTTTGAAAACCTTTAACTCCACATAAACAGTGAGATCACAAGACCAGTTGACCTTCTTTTATTAGATACTTTAGGAACAGTTCTGAAATAAATCAATCAGGATGATAATTTTTCGTCTTTTGTGAAACTAATGTATTTACATCACATCATGTATTTTTGTAAGATTTTTTTTTATTGTATTCATTAAAAGACTCAAAGGCTGCACGCATTCGATGAAAAATACAGCACCATCTGTCTCGTTAAAAATGCTTGCAACTTAAATAACTTTCTTTTTTATGCATTTTAAAATGACATTTATTTATTTACAGTTATATTTATCTGCAGTTACTACTGCAGTGTTCAGTGTCACATGATTTAATATGCAGATTTGCTGCACAACAGACATTTCTTATTTTCATTGTTGATAAAAGTATCAGTATGTAGATTAAAAGAAGAGCATTATGTCTAAATACACATATTTTGTAACATAATTATGAACATCCTATAAATGCAAACATTTTTTTGCTGTAATTTTGATCATTTTAAAAGGTCTTAATCAATATTCTCATTTTCTAAATCTTTTTTTTAAGTGTAGTGTTAAACCATAGGTCTCAAACTGGATTCATGGAGAGCCACAGCTCTGCACAGTTTAGCTCCAACCCTAATCAAACACAGCTGATCCAAATTATCAAAGTGTTCCATGACTAGACACTATTAAGCAGGTGTGAGTTGGAGGTGGTTGGAGATAAACTATGCAGAACTGTGGCCCTCCTGGAATTGAGACCACTTTGTTAAAGTATAAATATTAAATATGACTGCACTGTGATCTTTAAATGTCATCAAATGATTGTTGCTGTAAATATACTTGACAAGAGTTTTTCATATATAAATCACTGTGTATTGAACAACTATTTAGTGGATATGATTTGATATCTGTATGGTCTGTAATTCAGCTGCAGGTTTGAGCTTCTTCATGAGCGTGTGGAGTCTGATATCTTTGTGACGGACATCCCGGCGCGGATTGGTACCTTGTTGGACTACAGCCAAGGTTGCCTCTTCTTCTTTAATGCTCAAAGCGGCCAGGTTTTGGGCAGTTTTCAGCACAAATTCGCTCAGCCCTGCCACCCGGTGTTTGTCCTGGAGCAGCCGGGGAATCTGGAGCTGAAAATGACCATGGAGGTGCCTGAGTTTGTTAAGCACTGCTAGTTTACAAGGCCCACGTCTTAATGGTTTGGGTTGCCAAGTTGAAATGAAATGACAAGATGATGAGAAATATTTAGTTTTGCAAAAGGAAGGACTGTTTTTGAAGCTGTGCTTTTAAATCCCTCCAGAAACTAGTTTTGTGAACTGATGCTTTGTGTTTGTAAATACAGTATGAAACAGAAAGTGTATGCGACAAATTTTGTTGCTTATCAAATACAGTACCTTTAATTAATATCGGGGCCCTTGATAAATATAAACAAATAAGGTTGTGAAAATATGTTTTTATATTGTTTAACCATTTGAGTAATATGTTACCCATGTCATTAATCTAATATTGGTATGAAAGGCCATACTTAACCACTTTTCACCTTTCTTTTCATACTCCTCCTAGACCATTGATGTTCTGAAAACTTTGATCATCTTCAGACCATGTTGGCAGAAAGTTATCCAATTTTTGTTGATAGACGCCATTATTATATCAAATATACATCGAATTTGCTGACATGAAAAGGATACTGACATGACATTTTAGGTGGGTCACTGTCAACTCAGCACGTCTAACTTTATAGTTAAAAGCATGGACAAATAGTGCAACTGCACTCATGGCGGCCGGATTCGCACTCCCAAGTTTGATTGGTCCTTTGCGAATCCTGCTGTCCTCTCTACCCCAGCTTTCCTGTCACATTTCTGCTGTTCAATGTGCAAAGCATGAAAAACTCCAAAAATTAATCAATCAAAAACCTGCTGATCACGCTGTATCAGTTTAATAACAGTGCCACCTATTGGTTAAGTTCATTAACACATTCTTGTAGTGATTATTTAAATTTTTCTGATTAAAATAATTATAAATTGTCTTTTTAAAAGGTCTGAAACTCCCTGCCAAGCTTACTGCTCATTTTGATTTTCTGTTGTGCTTGGTCCCTTTTTTCAGCTATATTATTCATTCATTTTCTTGTCGGCTTAGTCCCTTTATTAATCCGGGGTCAGCTATATTATTATTTGATCAAATATAAATTGATGTTTAGATTACAATTTTTACTCATTTTTAGAACATATAATTGCAAACACAGCCCAGTTTTATCAAAAAGTTAATATATTTGTACAAATATATGTGTGCCACAATTATTATCATCTCATAAATTCATAAAAGCCAAAGATTTTAAAGTTTATTTCTATCAATATGTATTTATTTATGTTTAGTAAACCTTGGGTTATTAAGAATAGGAAACAGCCAAAATGGTCCCTTGTTTTAGATAGTTATACATATACATTAGGTAAATAAACACTAGGTAAACTTGCTCACTTATTTATCACAATGGGTAAGACCAAAGTACAAATGCCCATTTCCACCATTAGGGCAATAATAAAGAAATTCCAGTCAACTACATGTATCATGAATCAGTGTGCTGGGACAAGATAGACACATTCTCTTCCAGGCTGATTTGAATGGACAGAAAATCTCTTAAGAATCACAGCTGGAAAATTGTAGAAGTTACAGTAGATGGGTCTTAGGGTAAAAAAAAGAATGTAAAAGAAGTCATCTACATCCCCACAATCTGTTTCAAGATAAAATAAAATGAAAATCTTGAGGGCGGCACGATGGCTCAGTGGTTAGCACTGTCGCCTCACAGCAAGTGGGTCGCACAGCCCAAACACAAGCGCTAAAGATGAATTGTGTGGGAATGTGAGAGTTTATATTTCCCAGTTCTGGGTTGCGGCTGGAAGGGCATCCGCTGCGTAAAACATATGCTGGAATAGTTGGCGGTTTATTCCCCTGTGATGACCCCTTAGGGACTTAGTCAAAGGAAAATGAATGATTGAATGAAAACATCTTGATTTTTGGGTTTATATACTGGGTTTAATATATTGACATTTTTCCCAGCCTTCTTTGCTTATATTTACCAAGGGTGCCAATATTAGTGAAGGGCACAGTATATGATGAACCTTTGGATCACATGAGATGGAGACATTTATATTCAGCGTCTGCCTATTTATTTTTGAAGCTGCAGGCTTTCAGGTAGTTTGAAAAACAGATGTTGGTGCTGCTAATAACAGATTTTAATAGCTGAATTCTCCCGCATATGGACTCATGTTTTGAAATGATGTGCTTGACATTACAAATGAAACATGTTGTTAAAGGTTATTTCACTTCTGTTTCCATTTAAAATGTCGCTGGTTGGGACTTTTATCACTAAATCACAAATTAAGGGAAATGTGCAGCAAAGTAATTGAACTGCCCCCCCCTTTTGATTCACTTACAATGGGTCGTCATAATCAAGGAAATATTACTGTTTATTTATTTTTGTTCTCTGAATTCTTCACATTTATAAAAATAAATATTTTATCATATCAATTTATGCTTCAATGGAAATACATTTCAGCCATATTTGTTGTCTATAATGTCAATGTACGGTTCAATAATAATTATTTAAATTGTTTGGTATTGCTATGTTTTGTAAAATTATTCTCTTTTTCAAGTTGAGTGTACTTGAATTGTTTAGTAGTGCTATAAATTAGTCTACTTGTATTATTATTTGTATTTCTGAGAACATTGTCTGAACATTGAAATGTTAACAAAGCTTCTGAGTATTTTAATGTCACTTGGATGTTCTAGAATATTTTGTCATTTGAATTATCTGAATAAAGAATTCAGCTGATATGTTAGAAAAATTATTGTGTGAATGAACTAAATGAATCTGCCATTTTGAATGAATTGTTTAAAGGAACACACAGACAGATGGCTAAATTTGACCAACCTGGTGACCAATATTCATTGATTGATCTTTAAGAGTCACGGTATCCAGGGTAATGTCAATTTACCACCAAAAAGAAGAACCACATCCGACATGAGTAACTGTGAACACAAGAGGAAAACCTTTAAAAAAAAACAAAAAAAAAACAGAAAACCACAGTGGCCTTGCTCACATGCAGAATAAATGTGCACCTTATCTTTCCCGTTTCCAGCAAAAGTGTCAGGTGCTCCACAGGGTCAACATACATGGCCGGCTGATATTGCCAAACCTTTGATCACTCATGCCAGTGCCAAACGTCAGTTTCAATGGTGCCAGCAGTGAATATCTTGGGCTATGAACAATGTGAAACATGTACTGTTTCTCCAATCACCTCCAATTCACATTCTGTGAAGTTTCTCTTCTTTCTTGGTTTTTTGTTTGGTTTTGCCAAAGTAGACTCTACCATATTTATATGGGGGAGGAGTCAGGGAGGTGTTTTGCGCTCAGTTTCACATTAATTCGGATGTACAAAGAGAATATGCGTTGGATTCCGCACACGCAGTGTTTCATACATCTGAATTTTTTACTGCATATACGCACATTTACAGCTTTGTGCGTATGCAATGTTTTAGTATGAATTCAACGCAAGTCTTTGTACATGAGGCCACTGACCCTTATTCTGCAGGAAGAATAGATCAAAATCCCTCTGGCCACTGTGCAGGACTTGCATTTGTCATTCCTGTTGGATGTGGTTCTTATTGGTGTTATACTGACATTACTGTGAATACCTTGGCTCTTGATACATAACAAAAACATGACAAACACCAACAATTTGTCCTCTTTTGAGCTCTGATATATATATATATGTATATATATATATATATATATACACACACATATATATATATATATATATATATATATATATATATTTATATATATACATACATATATATATATATATACATATATATATATTTTATATGTGTGTATATATATATATATATAAATTGCTGAAACAAAAAGTAGGCAAACAGCATAAGTTAACTTATTTCAGGACGTAGGAAATATTTTTCACAATACAAATATACATTGCACATTTGGTGTAAATAAGTATAAACATGCAAACTGACTTTCCACCCTGTTTATTTTCAAAGAATGCCGCCTTGCATTTATGTACATCTACTTAAATATTTCTGTACACAGTTATATTTGGAAATATACAATTTCTTAAAACACAAAGGATGTCTGATAACACCAGGTGAGATGGCATGGCATAGCACTGCACTTTAAAGGCAATCGTTGCATGTATAAAATATTTCAGAGGAATATGAAAAACAACAAATGTATACACGGTACACAAAATCTGGTGATCAAGATCCCTTTGGACCAAAAGTATAAAGAATGTGTTAAGTGACATTAATGCAAACACAAACAGAATAAACAGAAAAAAAAAAATCCTGTAATGAGGCACAATGCCAAACTACATGTGTGCTATAGTAGATTTCACCTGCCATGTGAACGCAAGTAACTGTTACAAACTCCTAATTAGGGCTTTGCAATATTCATCACATAGGATAATATTGCAATTGTAGATTTAACAATGTAAAAGCTGACATCATGAAATGTCACTCACAGCAAACAAACAAACAAAAAACAACAAACAAAAACATGCATTGAGCCTCCAAGAGCATTCAGACAATGAACAAGTTCTTGATGATTTTAACTTTGTTCTATGCATTAATAGTTTTACCCTTAAATTAAACATTTAATTCTATTTTTAATTAATTACAACATATGCTGATGTGTTTAACCTCATATAACTTTGCTCCTTAACAGCTGTGGCTTTGTGTGACTGATAGCCGAGAAGTCAACTCCTTAGAACTTGTTCTCAGCAAAATGTTACAACTGTTTTCTTTCAGAGTGTGCTCATTTACAGGAATATTCACAAATGGGAGGGGTCCAGGCTCACTCTCTTGTAGGCTCTGTTATGGGTATGCGTTATTTTTTCTGTGCAGATTAGCTATTTCTGCTGGGCTAATCTGTATGGAAGATCTTTATTACTGAAGTGCCCGCAGACAGGGCTGAAGAGAGACGTCTATAAATATTGGAGAGGACCTGTGTTGCTGTTCTCTAAAACCCAGAGCTCTGTAATGCTTTATTCATCTAATTAATTAAACGGATTGAACTCATTTTTTAAGCCTCTGACTGATGTTTTAATCTGGGAGGAATGGGAAAAGTCTAACAACGATAACTAATTCAGTAAAGGTAGAAGTTAATCTTCATAAGTTACATTATAGACACAATATTATGGGTTATTTTGCTGTTAATAAATTAATAATCTGTTTTTGAACAAAGCAAGTGAGCCAATGATTGTGATCCATTTAAAAAAACAACACTTGAATCACACACTAAAAAACAGCAAGTAAAGGTCAAATCAAAGTTCCAATGAATTTATGAAGACTGAACAAAGTCTATTTAACAGTATTTTTAACTTATCAACTGTTATTTAAAGCTCTTGTGTTTTTAATTATATTTTCCCTTTTTATATTTCATAATTGCCACATGGTTATGATTCCTCAGTCCAACATACAAATTGCCATGTTATGGTCAATGCCCATTTAACAAGCCCTTTATGTCGTTCAACACTCAATTTGATATTTCAGCAACAGCATCATGAAAAATCTGCATTCATTTTTTACCTTACTGGTGAGTTAATATTTTAAATATGATTTGTAAAGGATGTCTGTGTCAGTGAAAATTAAATAAATAACGGAAAGGTCAATGTGGGTTTCTCAGGCAGGCGTTGAGTTCCTGTCACTGGCGGGGGCTGAGGGTTTGGCCTCATGTCTATGGGGTCTGTGTTGTGGGCTGCTGCGAAGATTGTCATCCATCTGTCACATAAACACACATGATGGTCAGATGCACAGGACACAAGCACTTAATCAATCCAAAAGATGTGCAAGAAGATGTTTATCTCTAACAATGCGATACAATACATGGCCAAAAGTATGAGGATACCACCCATATATCACCCAGCATCTAAAGCAGGTTTATAAAATCAAGCATACACAAAGAATTAAATAAAAATAATAATACTAATATGGTTACAAGAACTTGCTGTAAAATGAAGTATACATTTAAAATATTGCTAGAAAAAGATTAATCAAAATTATTCACATCCATTAAAAAAACTCTGTGTGTGTGAGTTTGTGTGTGTGTGTGTGTATATATTTTTCCCCCCAATTTCTGTTTTATTCAATGAATGTATTAAAAGCACATTAAAGACTTTACCCACAAAATAAAACATACATTAACATTTACACTGCAAAGTGCTCGTGGTGTGCGCCTTATACTCACATTGATGAGAACAATGTTCTTACTTTTGTTTTATGCGCACAAAAAATAATTCTCATAGCTTGATAATAATGATATACTGATAATATTCCAATTTAACAACTCATTTGGGGAGGTTTTTGGTATTTTTCTGTACAGTGAACAAGTCTGGAACCTTGCTGTCTATGGAGGATGAGGGAGCTCTCAGATTTCACCTAAAATATCCTAATTTGTTTTCAGGAGATAGACGAGGCTCAGGGGTTTGGAATGACGTGAGAATGAGCAACTAATAACATAATTTCATCTTCGGGTAGAGTAACTCTTAAAATATTTTCTGAGCAATGCTTCATGCCTGTGCTGTTCCAGCATGAGTGATCCTATGCAAAAAGCAATTAGGTGCATCCCAATACATGTATAATTTATGGTATTCACTCACTGTTCTATTGCGTATTAAAGTATAAATAATGCAGGCTAGCGTGTTCACACTGAACAAAAAAAAGAAGAAAAACGTAGACTTTAAATAACTTGATGCAATGATTTTATAAAAAAAATTAAAATAAATTTAACTCTGCCACTGTCGCAGATTTAAAGAGCCCATATTATACATGAAAAAGGGTCATATTTCGGTTATATGGGTCTCCAACAAGATACTGATATGCATGCAAGGTCAAAAAACATTTTCAGGGTCTTATAATATGCATTTATTTTTACCCAATTATCCCAGCGACTCCCATATGAATCCTTAGCGCGAAGCTAATCTGCGCTGATTGGACCGATGACAGCCTGTTAGAATTGGTCGACAGCGTTCAGCACTAGACAAATGCCCATTGCTAGACAAATGCCCAGTGCGGTTTGCCAAGGCCCCGGCGGATGGGCCCGCGCGATAACCCCGTGAATAACCCCCGCACAGGAAGTATGAACGGCACTTAGCAGTGAAAATAAAACCGATAGCGTGCACATCATTTAATGAGCTTGATTTCGGTGACAGAGCTTTTCTCCCTTCTCAGCTGTAACTTAGATCTTTTCTATTTGCAATTATTGCTGTGGCACCTCTTGCATGAAGCGTTATAAGTTCTCAGGGCTTACCAGTACTCTGCTTTGCCCAAAGATCCTATCCCCAGCCAGGGGGTTGTAGTGCTCACCAGCGTGTCGCAGGCTGCCTTTGTGCCTAATAAACTGGCCTTATTTTGCATGCACCCCTGGTGTATTGTCTGCCCATTCTCACAAGTCTCATACACCAGTCTTTTCTTTAACAAACAAATGAATCACCCACTGTAAGCATGTAGCCTGCTGAATCAATTATTTGCCCTCACACTTCCAATAATATCCAGGTATGCACAGCGTCTTCTTGACTTATGACTTCAGGATCTTTTTTTCTTTGCGGCTGTGTTAGTGGGTGGGGCGCAGGTTTAAATTTTCCCGGGTTTGCGCCCATAACAACTATGTTTCGTAGTCACGTCACGCCGAAACGGCTAAAGACTCGTTATGAAGACGATTCATTCTAACCACTATGATTCGACTCTTTTTTTTAGATGAATCAATAGTTTAAAAACTGTCCACTTTCAGATTTAAGCCTTAGCTGGATATTTCACTTCACTTAGATCTGTGTTACACGCTACATGGAAGCTCATTTTTGAAAACCCACAATAGCTCTATAATTCCAAGGTGAGACTCCAATAAATGTCAATATAGCCTTAACAATTTGATACACTGGACAGCTGAGTGCATAAGCGCATAATATGCCATGCACATTACGAGATAACTACCACTAAATTAGTAGGAAATATACAAGTATCCGACCAGTTTTACAGAACATAATCATTAGTTCATCCTAATTTGGGCACATTTTACTTTCTTTCAGGACTAGATTGGCAAAGTAGTAGACTCTGATGTGTGTGATGACGTTTATAGTCTAAGAATCACAACCATCTTTTGTTACGTGAATAAATTCAATTGTGAACAACAGATTGGAGATGCTTTTATGCTTAGCAATCTTAACTTGCGGCATGTCCCTTTTTTTCAGTGACATAAAATAGCAAATTAGGCATGGCTTAATCTATAAAACTGTCATATCTTGTCATTGTTGAGTTTGACAGGGATTCAGCAGATAAACTTTCTAAAATCTAGCAATCCAGCAACAGAAAACTGACATTATTTTACCTAGAGAGCATTAAACGGTGCATTCTTAAAAATATCATTCTTTAGTATATTTTTAAAATGTGTTGAGTTTGTAACGAGTATATTATCAGAAACATTAGTGAGGTGTTATATTACTAAAACCGTAATAGACTAATGTAATCACATTACATATGTAATGCGTTAATACCAACACTGGTCATTTAAAACATAACTATTGAGTCTGCTTGGACTCTTTGCTGCCTTTTGGAGTAATTCAACATCAACAGTGAAGCAGATCCCATCATCCAATATCACTGCATGACCTCCCTTTTGTGTCAGATATTTGGAATACAACTCAACAGTAAGGGTGAATCCACATACTTGACCATGCACTGTAATCGCTAGCAATATTAAATTCAGAAGTGAATGTGCAGATCATATGGAGACCTTTTCAATAAGGTTGGACTCTTTGTTAACAAGCTGTGTCAGTTTCTGGAGGTTTGCATCAACAGGATCATGGGCAACCGTCGGTGAGCCTATAGCGAGAGGGCAGAGGTAGAGAAAAGACGACAGGACGCTGATTGTGAAGAAAAGCAGATGGGTTTTTACGCACATGGAAGAAAGGTTAGAAGAATCAGAGTGTAGCCAGAGAGACATAGCTAATCACTTAAAATAGCCACGAGGCCCAAGACCATGTTGCTATTAAACTGTATATTCTGCTATCTACTGAGCTATTTGAACCAAATGTCTCAGTGTGAAAGCAATGGAAAAGTGATGAATCATGAATGTCTGGTTAAATGATTTCATTCTGTACAGTATGATTAAGCAGAAAACAATTGAAGGTTGAGGTAAACTAATATAAAGAAGAAAAAAAAGAGCAGAGCAAAGCCAATACTATGTTTTTTGTCCCTGTCCCTGGCTGGTATTAAGATGCGTTTATCGATCTGATCACAAGTGGAAAAAGCAGTCATATTTCTGTTCACAACTTGTATTTAAATGTGTCTCTTTTGCCAACTTTTACCCACGTTTCTGATGAATGAGGGTCTGCGGTCAGGTACTGGCAGGTATCTCTGATCTTTTAATTCTAACACAGCAAAAGCTAGCTAAATTTTCATATTGGACAAAAACAAAAGCATTAAATCAATTAAGTGATTTTTGAATAGACTACTAGTTGTTGACTGATAAAAATCTAATATTTTTTCCCCAACCAACCTCTAATACACACTTTATTCTGCTTTACAATTTTAACATGTAAATTTCCTGTATGTTTTTATTAAATTCATAAACAAATACTTCAACCAGGTCCTGGAGGGTCTGCGTCCAGCATAGTTTAGCTCCAACTTCCTTCAACACACCTGCCTGGAAGTTTTAGGCTGTTTCTCAATTCGAAGAACGCAAAGAACGGACTTGCCTTTCCTTTATGAAGATGTCCATGCTTGTTTATATTCACCGTTTCATTTAGGGAAACTCCTGAGGTAAATAAGTTATATCTCTGAACTTTAATAATAAATCTAAATAAAATGCTGCGCTTTCCACCTCCAGTCGCAATGACTTCTGGGACTTCAAGAGCGAGTTCGGTGCTCAAGTCTGCATTGGTGTGTCATCAATATCAAGAACACATTCGGGAAGTTTCACGCTTCTTCTGTTTTTGCGGTCTTGAGTATTGGAAGTGAACTTTGGCAGCTGATAATGACGTTAAACAAGAACACGAGGACGCGATACCACTGAAGAACGCATTAGGAAACAGCCTTAGTATACCTAGAAAGAGCTTGATTAGCTGGTTCAGGTGTGTTTCATTGGGGTTGGAACAAAAATATGCAGGACACCGGCCCTCCAAGATTGGGTTTGGGCACCCAGCCCTAGATGTTGCTTTGAATAGAATAAATTGACTTTAGGCAAATTAAAGACTCTACCCATGATATAAAATATTCAAAAAGCTTATAAAAATAACCATGCTGTTTGAAGAGACTGAAAAAAAATCTAATTTAAAAACTCTATTTTGTTAAATGTTTATTAAATAAAAAAAATTATAAATATCAGGACTTGTAAAAGAACATTCCGTTGCAAGCATTTTACATAAGCCATGTTTCCATACATCTATTTTTATGCACATTTTGGATGAGCGCATAAAAAAATGGTTGATGAAAATGCCAAGATGCGCATACATTTTGAAAATGCGCTTAAAAACATGCATAACTGAGTAGCATAAACTCTTTATTCTATAAAAAAAGATGCACATAACTACGATGGAAACACTTTGCACATAAAAAAGGTCATGTGATTTTGTCAGAATCCATATTTGCTAATTTAAGGACGGGAAAATCCGCTTTGCGCCGTGGCGCATGGTCTAAAAAGGTTGAGTTTATTTTCTTAACAAGTTATAGGTGTGTTTTGAGAATAAACCAATCAGAGTGTCATCTCCCATTCCCTTTAAAAGCCAGCTAAATGCGCCATAAGCGCATTTGCTATTTACATGACGTAAAGTAATGTAAGTGGGAAAAACTGAGCATTTCACAAGCAAACAGTTAACAGTTAACAGATTTTGTTTAACAGAAAACAGTTAAACAGAGCATCTACCGTGCAAGAATGAAAGATAATCGATCTACTTTCACTTTCGCTCTCGTGGATAGGGAAACCTTTACGCACAGACATCAATTAGCCTATGAATAATTAATTTTGTTTATTGAGCGCAAATATTTGTTTCAAAACTATTTCTAAATTCAGTTCTTATTTCCAGCAAACGAATAAATGAACAATAATAACTAAGTGTGTTCAAAAACCTGAGTTATATCCTAAAACACATGCTGTGCCCCAGATGGTCTAAAACCTGACAGGTGGGTAAATCTAAGCTTGTTTTTAATAAAACAAATATAAATCTGGATATAATAAATAATACTGCTAATAATAATAACATTATACAAAAGCAAATTGTTATGAATGAACTGAAAAAGCCTCCCGAGATGAAGGCATAAAAGCAGTGATTTTTCATATTTATGTAGGCTAGAAAATAATATGTTTTGTAATATTGTAATCCTTTATATTTATATCCTATATATATATATTCTTATTATATCCTATATATATCCTTAATATTTAAATTTTTTCATATGTAAAAGATATTTGCCCATTGTTCTACATCTTGTGTGTAGGCTATTAAGCTACAAAACTAGGCTATTAAACTAGCAAATAACATTTGTGCCGCACCTTGCGCCGCACCTTGCGCCGCATTGCGCCGGGTGTATGATAGGGCCCAATGATAGTTTTAAAGATGATTTGACAGATCCTGGATCTTTTAATCTTGATGACTGATCTCTGGCTAATTTGGTTCTTCAAACAAGTTTGTGAATTAGATTAAACTGATCTGAGATGGCTGCTGTTGTGAAGGACAGATCTATCGATCCTCAAACTCCTGATCAGCAATGCAACGACTGGCTGGCAGCACAGTAGCACAATGACATCATTTGATTAATATTCAATTATTCATGTGAGCAAAATTACATAAAATTCATAGTAAACAGTTTGATAAATATGACACGCAATGACTTTACACATTTGTTGTGGACTGCAGGCTTTACACCTTCAAGAGTGTCGAGAGTATTTATCAATTTTTTTAGTTTTATATTAAAACCAAATTTTCTTTATTATAGTAGCCTAGGCATATTTAAGTTTCTCAATCTGTGTAAGGAATAACTGGCTGTATAAAATAATTTTGCATTAAAACAGCATTTTGATATCGGTAAAGGTACCTGCAACTTTTTAAAGAAGCATCAAATCACCGGCATATTAGCTGTTAAAACATTTGGATGACTACATAAATTATTAAAAACTGTGGAATATTGTGCATTGTCTAATATCATACACAAATTGTACTAAAGCATAATATATATATATATATATATATATATATATATATATATATATATATATATATATATATATATATTTTTTTTTTTTTTTTTTTTTAATTTTTTTTTTTTTACCTCAAGTGTATATAACTACTACTGTAAGAAAATATACATATTTAGTACATATTTTTAGTATTACTTTCGTTTGAAATGACCCGATCTAATCCTGTTCATATAAATTAAGCCTGCTTCTGAGTTTGAGCTACCAGAACTTTTGCTATGACAACAACTCTCGAATAAGTTTTGAAGAACAAAACGATCCTGGAGAGTGTGAAATCGTAAATAACTAAATCCAGGTAATTTAGTAGTCCACATATGAAGAACAGACCCCAGATGTCAACAGGAACTTTGTGTACGTGTATGTTTTTAATATAGTGCTATAATAGAAGCTTCTTAATACTTACAGTCCATTCTGTTCTCAACAGTGGCGTCAGTGAAGTAGTTTTTAAGGATGGTGTTGCAGAACTGGCAGAGGTTGTCGAGCTGGTTCAGGTGCTTCTGAAGCTGTCCACTGGGCAGAGGGGCTTTAATGAGAGGAGCGATGTGGCCAAATACAAATGCATCCAGGCTTGTAGGCCTAAAACATAGAAAACATGCTGAACTGCAGCCTGACTAATCGAAATGATCCCATTTAAAGGCTTAGCTTTGTCATTTAATACCTAGAAGACATATTATGAATCAAATTTAAGAGATTTCTGTCCCTTAATTGAAAGTCTGGTCACCCAGAGCTCTTGACGCTGGGTTGGTTAAAACCCAAACGTGAGACATAATGACAACAGTAGCATAATTTGGGACACTAGACCACAAAACCAGTCTTAAATTGAACAGGGATGTTTGTGGTAAATCCAAAAATACATTTTGTTAGCCCATTTAAGTTAAATAAGATCATGTTAGATTAAAACTATTTTTACTTTTACTTCCTTAAATATATGCAAACTCAATTTCTGATTAGTATCTAGAATTCCTAAAAACTTAATTTGGGCAATTTTAACAGTAATTTTCTCCACATATTGATTTTCTTTTAAATCTAAGATTCATATAGTTATAAATAATTTCAGATAAATTGTGTCATATAACAAACCATACATTAAAGGAAAGCTTCTTTGTTCAGCTTTTAGATGATGTATAAAAACAATTTATTTTACCCTTATGACTGGTTTTGTGGTCCAGAATCATATTTCACAATTTCTACAGTTTGACGTGAGCAGCACAGCTGAACAACAGAGCTGTACTAACTAGCCATAAGTGCTTAAGGTTATTTATAGAAATTAACTTTTGGCTCTACATCCCCTAATATATTTATCTAGAGCCAAAGGCACATTATTAAAGTCCTTTCAACTCCATGCACGTTGCTTATTTCCCTCAACTAAAGACATCAAGCAGTACAAGAGCTGCAGATGACAGCTATATTAACAATATTTTCTAGGGTTGCCCAATACAATCTTACTGTATGGATCAGCATTGGCATTAAGATGCAAGTTCAGTTTTTTTAATCATTAAAAATTTCAGACACCTCTGCTTTTGGGTCTAAAGACTCAATATGATCATTTAGCACTCTTTCCTCTTTCCTAAGTACTGAGGCTCCCCGGAGAGATACTTATAAATAATGCACTGTCTATAAAAACACTGTAGACCTATAAAAATATAGAGTCTGAACCTCTTGGAAATTTTACTGAATACCCATGAAATTAAAATATGGACAAAAAAACTGCTATATATAAATATATATATATATATATATATATATATATATATATATATATATATATATATATATATATATATATATATATATATATATATATATATATATATATTGTGTTCTCTTTACAAATAGTTTGAAGTATCAGAGTTAATAGACTTTAGAATGAGGTACAGAAATCGCTAATTAATTAAAAAAAAAAAACTTTATTTGTGCTCCAAAGTCAAAGTCTTATGAGTTTGGAAAGACGTAAGGATGAACGAAATAATAATAGAGGGTTAAATTTTGCATTTATATATTTTGAACACTTTTGCTCTCTTATGTTCATCAAAGCTTATAAATAAAGCTTAAATAAGTCTTTTTAATCATTTTTAATAACTGACTTCTATATGAATTTGCTTTGCATGAAATGAAACTTAGGATGGCAAAGCTGGATTTTTAGGATGCAATATAAAGACATTCTGAAGAACACTATTACTTCTTGAGTACATTTACTTCCAATAAGTGAATTAAAGCATTAAATATAATGAAATTATTATTATTATTATTATTATTATTTTAAAGCATTCATAAAATATCTTCCTTCATGGTCCATGTGAGACGCACAGTAATAAAAGTCATACAAGTTTGAAACAGCATGAGAACAAGTAAATCACAAAAGAAGCTCATTTTATGGTGAACTATCCCAAATAATTCCAGTCAAGTGATTAATATTATGGGAGTAAAAAAAGAAAAGAATAACTCACGTGTCTCCAAAGAAGAAGTTGAAGTTTCCAAGTCTGTGAGAGAGCAGATTCAGGCACTCTTTGGCTTCACTGTAGATCTAAAAGAATTTCTATTACTAACCATACAGTTTTATAGATGTTATTATGAGGAATGGATGGCATACTGTAAGTACAATAGCACAATCTTCTAAATCCTGTGGCTTCTCCACTTCACCTCAGGCAGATTTGCTCATAAGGGCAGACAATCTTACTGAGAGGTTAACTGTTTTCCATCTCACAAAGCAGAACCACAGGCTTTTCCATTTCAACATTGAAATAATAGACATACATTCAATGAAATGCATGAAACACAATGTCTCGGTTTCTCAAGTAAGAATTACCATTTACACTCACCGGTCACTTTATTAAGTCCAACTAAATTTCTAATCAGCCAATCACATGGCAGCAACTCAATGAATTTAGGCGTGTAGACATGGTCAAGACGATCTGCTGCATTTCAAATTGAGCAACAGAATGGGAAAGAAAGGTGATTTAAATGATTTTGAACGTGGCATGGTTGTTGGTGCCAGACAGGCTGGTCTGCGTATTTCAGAAACTGCTGATCTACTGGGATTGTCACGCACAACCATCTCTAAGGTTTACAGAGAATAGTCGACAAAGAGAAAATATCCAGTGAGCGGCAGTTCTAAGGGCACAAATGCCTTGTTTATGTCAGAGGTCAGAGGAGAATGGCCAGACTGGTTTCAGCTGACAGAAAGGAAACACTCGTTACTCAAATAAGCACTCGTTACAACTGAGGTATGCAGAAGAGCATCTCTGAACACACAACACAGCAAACCGTTGAGGCGGATGGGCTACAGCAGCAGCACAGGTGCCACTTGTGTCAGCTAAGAACAGGAAACAGAGGCTACAATTCGCACAGGCTCACCGAAATTGGACAATAGAAGATTTGAAAAACATTGCCTGGTCTGATGAGTCTCGATTTCAGCTGCGACATTCAGATGATGAGGTCAGAGTTTGGCATCAACAACATGAAAGCATGCATCCAACTTGCCTTGTATCAATGGTTCAGGGTGTGGTGGTGGTGGTGTAACCACCGGTGTGGGGAATATGTTATTTGACACTTTGGGCCTATTAGTGTCAGTTGAGCATTGTGTCAACGCCACAGCCTAACTGAGGATTGTAGCTGAACATGTCCACCACCACAATGAGTTCACTGTACTCAAATGGCCTCCATAGTCACCGGACTCAATCCAAAAGAGCACCTTTGGGATGTGGTGGAATGGGAGATTATCATCATGGATGTGCAGCCGACATATCTGCAGCAACTGTGTGATGCTATCAAGTCAATATAGACCAAAAGCTCTAAGGAAAATTGTCAGTACCTTGTTAAATCTATGCTATGAAGAATTAAGGCAGTTCTGAAGGCAAAAAGGGTCTAAGTAAGATATACTCAATAAAGTGGCCAGTGAGTGTAAAAAGTAAAATCATTTGAGTAACTTAACATGAATAAACATTTCTAATCATTTCTATTATGTTATTTCAATTTAATTTAGACAAATTAGGTTTACACTTCCATTTAGGCTGGATTGCCTAGATGATTTGAAATTTGAAAGGATTACTTAACTAAAAATGAAAATTCTGTGGTTAATTACTTGCCCTCAGTTCATTCTAGTCTCTTGAAAACAAATTAAGGTATTTTAAATAAAATTTAAGAGCTTAAGCATAAGCAGCAACAGTCCCTATGCACCAAATACTAACTTTTGGGCTAAATCTGAAAATTGTGAATGCACTTTGCAAAAAACCTGAACCCAACACTGAAAATTAATTTTCATAATTTAATATTTTATTAAATAATATGAAGGAATTACTTACAAAATTCAGTCTTATATTTACTTAAAAAACACACAAGCTCTAAAATAACCACATTTTATTGACAGTAACCTAAAATCAAGCAGAAAATATACAGTGGCCTAAATTCTTAGAGCAGTAGAGGTTTATTTTAGAGATTTCAGTAGTTTTGAATTGGCCTTTACAATACTCATATCTACAAAGTCATCATTATGCTCTATGAAGCACAAAATAAAGCCATCATAACTGTGGGTCATTTACATACTAAAACAAGCTAGGAATATTCAGGCTGTCTGTAGAGAATGACAGAGCTCTTGGATTTCATATAAAATATCTTAATTTGTGTTCAGAAGACTGTGTACTGATCAACATGAGGGTGAGTAATTAATCAAATAATTAAACGTTTTGTGTAAACTAACCCTTCAACATGAGCACAGTTTGCATTTGTTTAGCCATTTAGTTTTAATCAGGATATTTGGAGATCTAAAGTTTATTGTTTTCTATGTAAAATATGGTCTGGGCAATATTTAAGTAAAAATGTAAATTAAATTTGATTAAAATTTAATTAAATTAAAAATACTGATCTCAGATCTGGCATCAAAACCATTACTGCTCATTGAGTGAAGCTATAATCATTGTTGCTGTAAAGCTGCTAACATTGAGCATATCTGCTACTAATCTTCACACTTCTGTTGTAACCTCAAAACCTGAATCTTTTCTAAATCTTGAAAACAGATGAAGATGAAACTCTGAGAAATCTTTCTCTGTAATTAAAACACTAAATATTACAGTACAACACATTCAGTAGACAGTTATTTACACCAACAAATATAATGTAGTTCCAACACAAAGTAATTAAGTTTATTAAATAAAATAAACTTATGATTAATTATTAAATGGTCAGTTAGTTTCAAGAATTGAGTTCTTTAAGCTCACTTTATCCAAGCAATATGAACAAGCAACAAATTTTTTATGTATAATCAGGTCTGTTTTTTCTTACCTTTCCTTCTACTTCTGTAATATTCAGCAACGGTGACTCTGCTTTGGTCAGTAGAATACGAGACAGAGCCAAGCTGGCCTGTCGACCCGGTACAAAGAAGTTCAGAGGGAACGGAGAATGTGACGTGAACCAGGGCCGCGTCAGATTAGCATAGTTTTCTGCGTCCACCCAGAACGTGTGCAGCTACATAACAACAATACAAATCACCTCTTCATTCATGAAATCAGCAAAACGAGGAGCAGTAATAATACTTCTCAAACAGTATGTGAATCTCACCAGCGCCGGCCGCAGCTTTTCCTCCAGCAGTGCGATGTAAGCCATCGTGTCAGCCCCTTGCTTAGCTGTCAACTCAAAGTCAGCATTGAATCTCTGTGAATAAGGAAACACATAATCTATTGCCACTTTATTATATAACTCAGAGCGTAGTCACAAGGGCTGCACGATACTGCAATGTGCGCATCCGCAATAGTCAGATTGTAAGATGTGCAACACTGAGTTTATATGTTGGGATTAATAATAATAATGAGCAGCTCCACAGATCACATGTGATTTGTAGAGTCACTGAAGAGTTTCTCCATAATGGAGTGAAAGTTGATTATATGAATATATGACTGTCACTGAGCATTTCATTTCAGTTCACCATTGGTAACTTTAATAAAGATTCATTTTATGTATTAATTTAATCGATAAAAACATGGCATTGACATACTGTATGACATGAAAACAGTGATATAGTGACATTTTTACATTTGATTATTCAAATTCTGTCTGAATACTGTTAGAAGCCCTAACCCACAGTTTTTTTAACTTTTATCTTTGCTCGTCTACTGCATTTATTTATGCTTTGTTTATTATGTTGTTTGTTTGTTATGTTGTTGATTTTCCACAGAATCATTTTAATAATTCCTAATTACAGTTTTGTTTTACAATCGCCATGACAGTTTTTCAATACATTAAGAAAGTTTCCTAAACTCCTAACACGGTTAGCACAACATCCGTCTTTGTGGGCTACACAATTAACACATTTCTTGTTGCTTTGACACAAAATGCACACAGTTAACATTAATTTAAAATGCTTAAACTTGTTTTACACACAAGTTCAACCAAGACCAAAACAATGTAATGTTACAGTCAAATTTGCACATTCTTTCACACTGTATGTCAGAACAGATAACATCATGTTCTAAACAGAACTTATACAGGCTAAAGTTAAAGTGAACAGCTGTTCATATTGTCAATTTAAACACAAATATATTTTCTGTATTTTATTCCATTGCCAATGAGAAACAGCTTATTGCAGTTATTTAAATATATAGATCACAGCAGATTCCCATTTAGGAACCACATTAAGGTGTTCAGGTTTTTCCAATCACATGATCATTTGTTCTAAAAGAGGACTCTGGGCTGATCTTGTGTGGAAAAGGAACAACAAGAGAATTCTTCCCATACCTTGATGTCAGGTGATGATGTGGATGAGAACATGTGGCTAAATGCAGAAGATTGTTTTGTTATTATAATTGCAGTCCTTTTTCTGTTTGTATATCTTACAGAAATGTTTATTTTGCAAATAAAGTCTGTACTGCAGCAATTCTGTGTCTGTATTATTATTATTATTATTATTTTTTTACATAAACTGTACATTTTGTAAAGCTACTCTGAGATGGTCATTCATTTTTTGTCATGAATTTCTGCAGCAAAAAAAAAAAAAAACTAATTGCATGCAATCACTAAACCCAACAAAACAAAAATGCAGTGAGGCTTCAAATATAAGGGCAGACCTGACATAAAATAATGCAGTTTCTGTCATTTCAGCTGATGAGAGTGTTTTATTGTAAATACATTATGATTGACTAAATGTACTTGTTGGAGGAGAACATGTGTTCATGTTTTGAATAATTATTTGATTTTGAAACATGTTTGCAGTGTTTTTTTAGACGTGGTGTATTGTGTTATTTTATTATTGTATTTTGAAAATTAGTTTTGAAGTTTAGTTCACAATGTGTGATTTTAAGCATGAAATTAACCTTATTGCCAATTGTGTGTTTTAGGTGTGTTGGTGCATTAAGAGTTTAGGAAACTTGTTAAATGTGTTGGAAAAAAAACTGTCATATCAATTGTAAAAAGAACTGTAATGAATCCTTTCCAAACCCTCCGTCAATCACATCCTACTTATAATAATCAACACTTATCATAATACCCAAGGTTGCCTCTCAGATTTTACCATTGCCCTAATGACTACGCTTTTGATTGACTATGTATATATTTGTTTGGTTTATTATTACCTTATTATGCATCAAATACCACTGAGATATAGATATAATTTATTTTTACTGTTAAAGATTATTATTATTCTCATCAGTTCATCACTCCATGACTTATTTCACAAATATTGCATGATTTAATAAGCATACCTCATTATTTATTTGGTTATATTTATACACAACAGGTCAAAAGTTTGTGGTCAGTTCGATTTTTAAATGTTTTAAAACAAACTTATTCTGCAAGACTGCATTTATTTTATTAAAAATACAGTAAAAAATGTAAAATTGTGAAATGTTATTGCACTATAAATTAATTGTTTAAAAGTAGCTATGATTTAATTACATTTTTTATTTCAGTGATTTTAAATATGAATTTTCAGCTTTATTACTCCAGTCTTCAGTTGTATGATCCTTCAGAAATCCCTCTAATATTAAATATTATTAATAATATTATTATTGTTCTTCATGGTAATAGTAATAAAAGTAAAAATGACTGGAGTAATAATTTCACTTGAAACTACAAAGAAAATAAATAAATAATAAATAAGTATTTAATAATTTAACATTTTTTTTTACAATTAATAAATGCCGCCTTGATAAACAGATTTTTTTTTATTTATTAAATAAAATTACTGTATGTATATATATATATATATATATATATATATATATATATACTGACCCCAAACTTTTGTCCGATAGTATATATTATTTTCTCATTTTATGATATTTATTTATTTATCATGCATTAATTTATTTTTACTGCTAAATTGTATTATTTATTTATTAACACTTTTATATAGTGTATCCCACTTTATGGTAAAGCAGTAAATTAAGACATTGCACCTGGTTGATCAAAGCAAATAACTTTGCTTGCATATGAATTATTAGTCTCATAGTGATTCATCTTTAATATTGACTAAGAAACACCAAAAATACAAATAAAAAGTACACACAAAAGGGAGCCCATATCTGTAATTGCCAAGACTTTCTACCTGCTTTCGTAGAAAGTTCAGTATCTGAGTTGGCTCTGTGACCGTTGTTCCCTCATAGTGTATTTGTGGTACAGATGCTGTAGAGAAAAACATTACAGCTGCAGCTCAAATACAAAAAAGTCCCAATATTACATACACAATGTTACATAAATGCTTGCGGCTGATTTACACACTTTCACTAAATTAAACAATCCGTTCTGACCTGTAATAGTCCTCCATGTCCAGTCAACAAACTTCACTGTAAGTTCTGCACCTGCAAACTTTGCATACGCCTATAAAAAAAAACATTAAACACAAAAGGTGAGTGATTTAGGGTCAAGATAGGCAGATACAATGAATAGGACTTTTATTATGCGTTTTTGCAAAGGTTATGAGGACGCAGGCTATCAAGCAGCTGCAAAAATAAACACACTGCAAAAGCTGTTCTGTAAACACGAAACACAATCGCTGTGAACAATCCTTTAATCTAAATGAAAAACGTTTGAAAAGAGTATAAATTTCCGGTGACATTTAAGAAATAAAAAAGCAGCTGTACGACAAATAACAGCTATAACTATTTAACGTATATTATAAATAATAAATAGTAAAAGCAAAGCAATTTAATTCAGTCGTGCCTTTTTTTTACATTTTCATAAATATAGTGTAAAAGAAAGCTTTAGCTGACAGCTGAAATGGAGCATACACAGCAAGACTTTTATTTCTCAAAGTGACTCGAAACCCAGGACGCGTCTCTCCAAAATATGCATGAACATACTTTATGTTTTTATTATACGCTATGGATATGCATTTATTACAAACGGTTGAGTGAGTCGTGTGTTTACCAGCACGGTGAGGGAGTCTGTTTGCACGGATGGCAGATCCCAGTCTCCTCCCCAGCAGAGCAGCTCGATGGGTTCCGCCATGTTTGTTTTCATGCCCTAAACACATGAACGGAGCAGCATATACTACCACCCAATGGAGGATCAAAGGTGAACATTTAGCTAGATTTTTTTTTCTGAGAGGTAAAAGCGAAACAGTTGGCTTTCTTACTATAAAAACAAACAAATAAATAAATACATAAAAATTTTGCGAGACATACGGACGGATGGATGGTAGTTCTAGTTCAGCTCATGTCTGTTTTATTGTGTAGAACACAAACAGATGGATGCCTTAATTTCTTTTAAATTACTTTTATATTGATTTGAAAACGTGATCCATCAACTAATTACAACTCCTATGGCAGATGAATTTTGTAAATAAAGTAAGAGTAAATAATACATAATGAATAGTAAATAAATAATATTTATAATAAATAAATAATCAATATTGTTAATCACTTTTTACTTATTGAATATAAAGCCCTTTCAATTTCCCTTCTACCATGAAGCAGGGGAATTAATGGTGCAGTGGAAAGCATGTTTTTTTTTTCACAAAAATATGTTTTTTTTTTGCATGTAAAAGTATTTATTTGTGCCAAAGCAAACTAATTCAAGTAAAAAAAAAAACGCATATCATACATGTTGATGAACTATCAACATATAAAAACATGTGATGATGCTAGCTGAAGATTAGCCTGAATTGCTAAGAAAGATCATATTTTTCTCAAATGTGGCAGTGGGGTGAAGTGAGACAAATGCTCTGGGTAAAGTGAAATATATGGCACAAGTTAAATTTAGTCTACCAGACTGCAGGACTTGTGAATGAGGCCTTCATATCAACAGTGACAACATGCAACATCACTTCTGGATTTAGGTCCACTGGGATTTTTTCATATAACCCAGAAATTTTCTTTGATAAAGCAATTGCACCATACATGGAGTCAGACATGTCCTGAGCTCCAGCCTGCCACTACAGAAGATTTGGATGATCTACCCTCTGCAGATGATCCACCTGCAGATAATTCACTCTCTGATGCTAATCCTTTCATTGCACATACATGGATGTGTCATGTGTTTCCAGCCAACCTGGATATGTCTCCCCATGAAATGCTATCATTTCTCAAATGTCACTCCAGAACACCAAATGAAAACGTGTGAAGGCCATCCTAACTGATACACCTGAGAAGCAGACAGTTGAAAAGGCTTATAAAGAAAGACAAAAACTTTGTCATAGTTAACATTGCAAAAAAAAAAAAAAAAAAAAACAAGCGTTTATTACACTGGCATGGTTAAGAAAGTTGAGGATGGCTAGATATGCACGTTATGATTTTGCCAAGTCTGATTTGATCCTTGATTACCGTCTATGCTAATCCTTTTACATCATTTTTGTTGGAAAATGTATTCTCTACCTCTAAACCCAACCATAACTGTAAATTACTCCCAAAATCACAGGGAATAATAATTGGATAACACTCATGTAGAAGTGCATAGTCCTAACCGCAAGCCTAACTTAACAGAAATTGTAAACGTATCTCTTTATTCTGATAGGCTGATTGGAATGTTGTTTCAGGATCAACATAAATGTTAATCCAGGAACATGTGGGTGAAAAAAAGGTTAGTGATAAGGTTCAGGTACATGCACAATTTCTAAGAAGAATCCAGGTAAACAAAATGGAGTGGGAGTTGTAGAGTATGACAGCAGGCTGATGTTCTACTCCAGGTGAGTCCTGTGTTCGGAGTCCCAAGCTGTTCTGTCTGGTTCTTATTGTCCTTTTCTCTGACCCCCATACACTATAGCTGGCTCTAAGAGTCTTGTGTATTGACCCCCATATTGTGTTCTAATATAACTGGTTTTATCTGTCATTAGAATGTAAATTCAAATAGTTTGAAATAAATTGTTGTGTTGGATTTTTTTCATGTGTTTAGAAAAACAAATGTGCTTAACTGACCAATCCCCAATCTATAATTGACTTGTTCGACATTAGTTCTGAAATGTGTGGTTGTCAAACTAGCTGTTGAGATTCAAACTCTTACAACATGTGTTGTTATGGTAGTTTTAATGTGCAAAAAGTAAGTGAATCAGCTTACCCCTGGCTGGTTCACTTTACCCCTTTGATTTCTCTGATCTGTCTCAGTTTACCCCGAAGGTGGGGTTTCAAGAGTTCACACTTAGCTGATAATCAATAAATCATATTTGGCATGCTGTCCCGGGAGAGAGCCCTGAGCTCGTAATATCCTGGAGCCCAGGGCTCCCTCCTGTTAGAAGGGCGAGAGGGTAATTTGAGGTCAGGTAGGTCTCGAGAACTCCCCTGCTTGTCAACGTGAGAAGTGTAAACTAAGGTTGTATTGGGTGATAATTTGTTTTAGTCGATTGGCTATGGTTTGTGTTTTTGGATGGTGGGTGGAAACCGGGGAACCCAGGGAAAACCCACGCGAACACGGGGAGAACATGTAAACTCCACACAGAAACACCAACCAGCCTGATGGGTTGGGCCGACGGTGTTCTTGCTATGAGGCAACAGTGCTAGCCACTGCGCCACCGTGTCGCCCGATCAGATCAGCTTCAAGACGAAGATAACTGGTGTGAAAAACTCAGGTTATTTATAATGCTTCCATAATCATCTAATAGGGCTGATTACGGAGCTAACAAGGAGCCAGCAGTGTTGATTATAAGCACGTGATCCTCTCGAAATTAATTTATGAATAAACCGCACAAAGTGAGACACAAGACAACTTTTTTAAAACAATCATATTTTCACTTTCCTTTATCCTAAATTGTCTGATAAATTCCATAGCTAGAAAGCATTCTGAATTAATGAGAAATGTAAATTTTTACTGATATATAATTTTAGCTCACTAGAAAGGAGCAAATGTAAAAAAATGTCTCACTTTACCCCACCCTCCTCTACCCATCATTAAAGAGAGTAGAGAGGCATCACATGGATGATGATCAAGCTTCCAAAATGGTCCTGCGTCATCAGGCTGAGTAAGTTCCCATCTGGATTCCACACATGAAGGCTTCACTCCTCTTGTCAGAGATGGCAAGTTATGCCTTTCGCATGAGAGAGAAAGTCTCTCCTCAGTGGTGTTAGCTGTATTAGATTTGAGAAACATATCTGGTTCCTGTACAATAAAGCCAGTAGGAGGAGTGATCAACTTGCTTCCCAGACATTGCCTCTGGAGAGCACATCAGCTCCAATGTTCAGTCTGCCTTGCATACGGACTGCTAATACAGTAAGAGAAGTCTGTGTTTTGTGCACAGAAGAAGGTATCAAGCCATTCTGTAGTGTGAAATCTGAGGCCTCCCTTGTGGTTGTCAAAAGACATCACCATCATGTTGCCTGACTGCTCTTAGATGTGCGGAGTCCTTGTAAGGTGGAAAGGAAGGTTTTTGAGGTTAAGAAAACTGCCATCAATTTGAGACAGTTGATATGCAGACACTGCTCCAGGTAAATCGAGGAGCCAAACACTGATTTGCACTCTAACAGTGTGCCCCAACCTAATTTAGAGGTTTCTATCAATATACCCTTTTCTGGGATGTCAATTGCAGCAGAGCACCAGACTGGCCTGGTCACTGTTTGACCACTTTCTTTTGCAAACAGAGTTTGAAGTTCAAGATGGAGAATGTGAAGAATATTGTGCATGACTGAAATCTGAAGAAAAAATTTGAAGCAATTCATGCTTTTTTATTATTTTTGTTTATTATTTATTATCACTCAGAGGTGTTGAGAGAAGAGGAGGAGTTAGATGACTTCATAGAGTTAGATCATTTCATGGGGTTCCAGCCACAGAACAGACCCCTTCCTCTTCCTTGTTCCACTAGCTGAGGATGACTTGAATCCACCCTGGATCCACCTAGGGCCCTTGACTCTTGGGATATGGGAAGCACTTTGCCACCTTAAACCTCTGTCGCTCATAGTCAAACTTGTGATGAGGCAGAGACTGGATTTTCTACTACTTTGCTGGTTTGGCATGCTGATGAGGCAAACAGGGTTTCTGGAGGCTTCTGCTGTGCGCTTAATCTAAATGCTTCTGGTCATATGCACCAAAAGAGGTGAAGCCACTCAAAACAGATGAGGAGCATTGGCCTTCATGTGCATTTAAGACTGGGGGACTCAAATAGGGCAGAGATTGAAGGACATGCAGCTGCTGATCCAGTGTGAGGCCATTTGCTTGCATTACAGGTTCACTGCAACACTCTTTCTTTCTCAGCAGGAAGAACAGCAATGGGAGAGCCGAACTGTGTCTGCCTTCAGGGAAGGGAATGACTTGAGAGTGTAGATGGGAGATGCTTATGTTCTCGCAGTTAGATAATGAAACATAAATGAGAATAGTCTCTGTGTGGGACTGGCCAAGACAGGAAACATCATGTCATTTTTATCTGCTAATCTGGGGCCGGGTCACAGGGACAGCAGTCTTAGGAGAGAACTCCAAATTTCCCTCTCCCCAGACACTTCCTCCAGGGGGATCCTGAGGTGTTCCCAGGTCAGCCGAGAGACATAGTCCCTCCAGCATGTCCTGCGTGTTCCCGAGGCATCTCCCGGTGGGACATGCCGGGAACACCTTCCTTGGTAGGCATCTTGGAGGCATCCGAAACAGATGCCCGAGCCACCTCAGCTGACTTCTCTCGATGTGAAGGAGCAGCAGCTCTACTCCAAGCTCTTCCCGGGTGACAGAGCTCCTCACCCTATCTTTAAGGGTGCACCCTGTCACCCTGTGAAGGAAACTAATTTCAGCCGTTCAGTCAATTTTATCCTTTTGGTCATGACCCAAAGCTCATGACCATATGTAAGAGTAGGAATTTAGATTGACCAGTAAATCGAGAGCCTTGCCTTTCGGCTTATTTCCTTTTATTACCACCGGTACATCAACCACATTATTGCTGCCGCTGCACCAATCCGCCTGTCAATCTGACACTCCATCCTTCCCTCACTCGTGAACAAAACCCCAAGATACTTGAACTCCACCTGAGGTAAGGACTTTCCTGCAACCTGGAGATGGCAAACCACCTTTTTCTAGTGGAGCACCATGGCCTCAGAATTGGAGGCGCTGATTCA